ATGAGAAGGTCCTTGTGAAGTAAGTAGTGGGCGCTGCGGGCTCGAAGGTGGTAAGCTGCCCAACGATCCTTAGGTTCGATGCCATCAGTTAAGTAGGCGCGGATTTCATCACATTAATCCATGGGTTCCTATTCTGTTGGTTCCTTGATCGGGGCATCGGTCTCGAGGTCTTGAGTGATGGTGCAATGGCCGCGACCTGGGTTGATGCTCGGGGCTTCTATGCTTTAGATCGGGATTAAGCGGCATAGATCAGTTTCTTTGTTCGAGGCGAGTGCTGCCAGGGCGTCGGCTTCAGAGTCTTATGCCTGGGGAATCTTGGAGAGCTCGAAAGTCTTGAACTCCTATGCTGAGCTTTGTACGAGCTTGAGATATTTATCCATCCGTTCATCTTTCGTGTCGTAGTCGCCGCTGAACTAGTTAGCTATAAGTTGGGAGTCGCAGAATTCCCGGATGTGGTTGATGTTCACTCCACGGGGTAGATGTAGTCCGGCGATGAGGGCTTTATACTCGGCTTTGTTGTTAGAAGCCGGGAATTCTAGATGGAAGGATTGTTCGAGGACTCCTCCGGTTGGTGACTCGAGCTGAATCCCGATGCCCGAACCATGTCGGTTAGAAAACCCGTCGACGTGTAGTTTCGAGTGTTGAATCGTGGTGAGATCGTCGCTAAGAAGCTCCGGTGGCAGTTTGACCAAGAAATCAGCCAAGACTTGGAATTTGGCGCAGGTTCGAGTGCGATACTCGATGTCGAACTCCGAGAGCTCGATGGCCCACTTAGCCATTCGTTCAGACTGGCTCGGGCTGTGAAGAATGGTCCGGAGTGGCTGACTTGTAAGGATTGGTATCGTGTGAGACTGGAAGTACGGGCGCAGCTTCCAGGACGATACAACCACTGCGAGAGCCAGCTTTTCCAAGGTCGGGTATCGTAGTTATGCGCCCTCCAAACTCTTGCTAACATAAAAGACCGGCTTCTGTTCTCTTCGGTCTTCCCAGACAAGTACCCTGCTGACAGCCGAGCTGGATAGTGCGACATACAGATATTGTGTTTCGCCATCTTCTGGTTTGGCGAGTACTGGCAGTGTCGAAAAGTAAACCTTTAGCTGCTGGAAGGCGTCTTCGCAAGTGTCTTCCCGAAGGAAACGCTTGTTACTGCGAAAGAGCTGGTAGAACTGGAGGCATTTATCCGTAGATCGGGAGATAAATGGATTGTGGGCGGCGATCGCGAGTGTTTCGAGGAGAGGGTTGCTCCAGGATAGCTGTGATTTGCTTCGAGTTGGCCTTGATGCCTCGTTGGGTGACCAGGTAGCCGAAGAATTTGCCGGATGTGACCGCGAAGGTGCACTTTGCAGGGTTTAGCTTCACCCCGTAAGTGTTCAGAATCTGGAAACATTCTCGGAGGTGGGTAATGTGGTGGTCGGCCTTCAGGGACTTGACAAGCATGTCATCGATATAGACTTCCATCGTGTGGCCGAGCTGGTTGGCGAATATCTTGTTGACCAGTCTTTGGTAAGTGGCGCCGGTGTTTTTGAGTCCAAATGGCATCACTTTGTAGCAGTAAGTTCCACGGTTCATGATGAACGAGGTCTTCTCTTGATCGTCGGGGTGCATTAGGATTTGGTTGTATCCTGAGAATGCAGCCATGAAGGATAGCAGCTCGTTGCAGGCGGTTGCTTCTACGAGTTGGTCGATTCGAGGTAGCAGGAAGTTGTCCTTGGGGCAGGCCTTATTGAGGTCAGTGAAGTCAATGCAGACGCACCACTTCACGTTCTTCTTTTTGACTACCACAGGGTTGGCGAGCCAGTCCGGGTATTGAACCTCCTGGATTGAGCCAGCTGCGAGGAGTTTCTCGACTTCATCTTGAATGGCTTGCGCACGCTCGGGGCCGAGTTTCGTCTCTTCTGTTTTATAGGTTTGAACGTGACGTCGATGTTGAGCTTGTGGCTAGTGATGTTGGGACTGATCCCCTTCATGTCTGCCATGGACCATGCGAAGGTGTTGACGTTCTTGTTGGGGAAGACAATAAGGTCCTCACGCATGCTGAGGAGTAGCTACATGCCAATCCCGACGCATCGTTCGGGATGCTCGATATAGATACTAACTTGCACGACCAAGTCGTTTTTTGGCTTTTCATGGTGTAAGATTCGGGGGTCCAGATTGTCAGTGACGAACGTAAAGGAGTGTCGGATGCACTGCTCTGTGATGTAACATGATCAGGACTCACGCTGATCACCACAGACGGTGATGATTCCTCTTCTGCCCGGGTACTTGAGACATTGATGGTATGGCGAGGTGACAGCGGGCATGGTGCTGATCCATGGCATCCCAAGAATGATGTTGTATATAGTCGGTTTATCGATCACATCAAATTTGACCATAGTGACGATGCCTCCTTCTGTTTTCATGGGTAAATGATCATTCCAATGGTGGAGGTGGAGGGGAAGTCGCTAGCGAACCCGGTGAGCGCCTTCGGACGACATTGATCTGGCTGTCCTTTATTCTCATCTGAATCAGGGTGGTTTTGAATATCAAGTCGACTGAACTGCCGGTGTCGATGAGGATCGTAGACACGTCGTCGCATCTGAGCATAAGGAGATAACGAGAGGCTCGTTACACGGGCGATCGATATGTTCAGCGTCGGCCTCCGTGACAGTGATGGGCGGGGTGTTGTCGTAGACTGATGTTCTGCTCTTGGCATATGTGGTGCGGCGTTCATGCTTTTTAATAGAGTTGATGGAGTCGTTGCAGGTGAGTAGGCAGCTCATTATCATGTTGATCTGACGCCAGGGTGATGGGAGAGCTAGTGGTGGTGGAGGCGAGTCCTCCTGTGCGTGTTTGGGATTCTCGTCAGTACGGGTTCGTTCTTGTGGTGCAGGGGCATGACGGTCTTCGTCTCGAGGGTGGGTTTGATCAGCGCGAGGTCGGCGTTTTGGGTATCTGTCGTGTGGTCGATCATTCAGTTTGATTTTGCCGTCCCACCAGTGTTGGTAGAGGAGCTCTTTAAGGTGGCGGCAGTCGAGATTGTCATGACTGGAGCATTTGTGCCAGGTACAGTATGGTTGGGATCCGGAAGCGTTGATAGTGGTGTGGTTCCACTTGTTCCACTGGCCAGGTCGGGTGATGGCAGAGACATTGCTCTTTCGAGCTTTGTCGTCACGATCATAGTGCTGGCGAGGTTCTTGGTATTCGTCCTCCTTAGGTCGGGAGCTTGTTGATTTTTTCTTGGGCGCGAGTTTCTCTTTTTCCTTTGCTTGTGTATCTTTCAGTTGCATGAACTTGTTAGCTTTGTGGAGGATCTAATCGAGGGACTGACATTTGCCTGTCGCCACCTTGTCGTAGAACTTCTGGTTCTTGCAAAGGTTGAGTTTGAGCGCGATCAAACCGGTCTCGTCCGTTGGATCGCATCGGGAGACGATAGCGCGGAAGCGGCCGATGAAATCGCGGAGGGTTTCCTTTTCACCCTGTATGCAGGTCGAGTTCGGAGGTAATGGCACCTCGCTCGATATACATGGAGTAGTGCCGGAGAAACTCCAGTGAAAGTTAGGAGAATGTCTGTATGGAATTTGGTTTAAGCTTGGAGAACCATTAGAGTGTGTTTCCAGCAAGGGATTCCACGAAGTATTGGCAGAGGGAAGAGTCGTGTTCCTCGGGTGAGAACCGGGCACGGTTCATGGCATTGTTGAATATCATGAAATGTTTCTGCGGGTCGGTGTTGCCGATGAATAAGCTGGGAGCTCTGTTCGGTAGTAGAGTCTGGGGCGGGCAGGCGGGAGTTGTGTTTAGGTCAGGTGTTGGAATCTTTGACGTGGTGATCCTTGCTACCCCTTGCTGAATTAGGTGTGTCGCTGAAGATGAGGCGTTTGGCTCCTAACGCAGTGGTGCCCGGGGGTATGTGGACAGCTTTAGAAGTGCCGGTCTTGGTGTCCTCTGCATCCCATGGTGGGGTGTCAGGTCGGGCTTCGTGTAGGGTTTCGAGATACGCGGTTTGCTGAGCTGTGATGGCCCCGATCTTCTCATTGAGTTTGTTGTCCATCTGTGCCATGAAGGACTGCAAGATGGCGGTTGCCGCGGGTGGAGGTGGGGGTAGTGTGCCCGTTGTGTTGGTAGGGTCCCATCGGGAGGTCAGTGTTGTCATTACTCCTGTGGTCGCGAGCGTTGGAGCTATCGTCGGGCTGCATATTGTTGAAGCCGATCACAGGCTGTTGAGTGTCGGAGCCGCTCCCGGTCTGCTGGGGGTTGAGGACGGGAGGTGTAAGACTGGTGTTGTCGGCAGGCTGTTTCTCGGCGGTCATCTTCGAGTTCTGGCGTGAGTATGCGAACTTGTATCTTTTATTCTTCACAGACAGCACCAACTGTAAGATCTAGATATCTCCCTTAAAGAAAATATAAAGATTTGTGGGGGTAAAAGATATAGTTTTTATTAATTAGGCGGAGCTCGAAGAGTACAGGGGTTTTAGGTCGTCGGAAAAGAACGCCGACCTAGGTTTTTTGAGAAAAGAACCGAAATCTAAAGCTGAAAGCAGAAAGCTATTGTTTGCCCTAGGTCTCAAGTCAGAAATTGTGAATGAATGATCTTCAAAAGGGGATCCTTCTTTTATACTGGATGTAGACGGCCCTAGAGTCGAATTCTTCTCCTTTCAGATTAGGATAACTTCCATTTTCTTCGGGATACGATTTCTTTTTCTCCTGCGATCTGAATAAATCTTGAAATATTTTTATTAATTCAAACCGACCTAACCACAGAGGCGGAGATAGAGTTTCGAATGGCCTTCTTCTCAATTCATAGAAGGCTTTCAGTAAGGAGTGCTAAACCCATCACTAACAACAAATCTAAAGCATTTAGAGCAAGTTAAACCGAAGATCAAAGCGATCCAGCATCTCAAACCATGTTTATGCCTAAATTCAAACAGATCTGCAAATCAAAATCCCCAAAATCGAATTTGAAATTAAACAAAAACAAACCAAAACTAATTGCTTAGACAAAGAAGAAAGCAAAAAAAGTAAACATGAACCCGACTTCAATACCGGGAGAGCCACCAGAGTCGGAAATTAGAGAAGGGAGGGTGGCGGCTTTTGGAGAGAAGTTTAGGTTTAGAGAAGTATGATAAAATTTTATTGCACACGTGACACAAAGAAACAAACTTATTATGACACAAAGCAAAAACATGTATGTAGCCATTGGCAGATATGATGGCCAAGGATTCTAAATGCAGATGGGGCAACTACTTCAGCACTATTGGCTTCCCCGTCTTGATCGGTTTAGAGACTGATCCATTGGTATATTTGTCAAAACCTAAATTAACTATGGATCGAAAAGAACACTCACTTCTAGCTGGTTTGGTGTATTCGATTACATAATTCATCTTCAATACTTTCGGAGCTAAGGTATATTGAATTCGAGCTTAATGTTTTTTTTTTTTTTGTGCCAATCGAGCTTAATGTTTTTGTTAATTTTCACGGCTGTAGAACTTAAAATTAGACTCTTGTCATTGTAGGTAGGTGCGATGTTACTCCATCGATTTGCTTCGAACACGACAACAAGCATTTCAAACATGATTGGTCCCATGGAAGAAATCAGTCTCCATGGCCATCCGATTGCTTACATTGCTCCAAGTGTCTATCGACATGCTCATGTACGTATCTCTTGTTTTAAAGAACTAATTACTCATTAATATTTAATCTCTTCGTTTTTATTCTTCTTCATGTTCTTTTTGTCTTTTCTTATAACGTTCTCTCTGTCTCTGTTTTTTTCTTCTTGTAGGCATTAACAATACATTTTCTAGGTTACGCAAATAAGATGACAGTCTCAATAGGGGTCGATTCTACTGCCATACCAAATCCTCACAAGCTTCGTGATGAAATAGATGATTCTCTGAAAGCTATGAAAGCCGCTCTCTTAGGAAGAGGGTTACTCTAATGTGTGAATATGTTTAATTAGTATGTACCCCCCACTATCGTATTAATTAGTAACAATTTCACATAAACAAGCAATTAGCCTTGCATTTTGTGGTGTGTACGGCCGTCACGGTAAGCATCATACGACGTCGTTTGAATATTGTGACAGTAAGTCTATAAGATAACGTTCATTTTTCGAAAATATTATTTGTCGGAAGATGTATATAAACATCGCTTCATCGTCTTCTCCTTCTCTTCCACCATTACCCTTAACCAGACCTCATATTTACACTTTAATACCCTTCTTCACCATTCCTGAAACAACACAACGCAATCTCATCTTCACAGTCTCTGCTTCTTCATCATCTTCATCTTCACAATCCACACAAACCAAAAAAAACGTATGGAGAAAACAGCCGGAGAACTCGACATCGTTGAGGAAACATCGGAGGTACGAAAGATCTGCTCATCTCGATCACAAAGTCGACATGGACGAGCTTCTAGCTTCAATTCACCAGACCCAGAACGAAGAAGAGCTTTTTGCTCTGCTTTCTTCTTACAAAGACAGACAATTGTCTATACGGTTTATGGTTTCGCTTCTTTCCCGCGAAAATGACTGGCAGAGATCACTCGCATTGCTCGATTGGGTTCACGAAGAAGCTAAGTACACTCCTTCAGTTTTCGCCTACAACGTCGTTCTTCGAAACGTGTTAAGAGCTAAGCAGTTTGATATTGCACACGGACTGTTCGACGAAATGCGTCAGAGAGCTCTTGCTCCTGATAGGTTTACTTACTCGACGCTAATTACTTCGTTTGGCAAAGAAGGTATGTTCGATTCGGCTCTTTCATGGCTTCAGAAGATGGAGCAGGACCGTGTTTCAGGTGATCTTGTCTTGTACAGCAACCTCATCGAGCTTTCTAGGAGGCTGTGTGATTACTCAAAGGCTATTTCGATCTTCTCTAGGTTGAAAAAATCCGGTATCACGCCTGATCTTGTCGCGTATAACTCGATGATCAATGTTTATGGGAAAGCTAAGTTGTTTAAAGAGGCGAGATTGCTTATAAAGGAGATGAAAGAAGCTGGTGTCACACCGAACACAGTGAGTTACTCAACTCTCTTGAGTGTTTATGTAGAGAACCAGAAGTTTCTCGAAGCTTTGTCAGTTTTCGCAGAGATGAAAGAGGTGAATTGCTCGCTGGATCTCACGACTTGCAATGTAATGATCGATGTTTATGGTCAGCTTGACATGGTGAAAGAAGCTGATAGGTTGTTTTGGAGTATGAGGAAGATGAACATCGAGCCGAACGTTGTTAGCTACAACACTATCCTCCGTGTCTACGGAGAAGCTGAGCTTATCGGCGAAGCCATTCATCTATTTAGGCTGATGCAGAGGAAAGACATTGAGCAGAACGTTGTTACTTACAACACGATGATTAAGATCTACGGGAAGACTATGGAGCACGAGAAGGCCACAAATCTTGTTCAAGAGATGCAGAGCAGAGGAATCGAGCCTAACGCCATTACCTACTCGACGATCATATCAATATGGGGAAAAGCCGGGAAATTAGACCGAGCAGCGATGCTGTTTCAGAAGCTGAGGAGCTCTGGTGTTGAAATCGATCAGGTTCTGTATCAAACAATGATTGTGGCTTATGAAAGAGTTGGTCTAATGGGTCATGCTAAGCGTCTGCTTCAAGAATTAAAGCGTCCTGATAACATCCCTCGAGAAACCGCTATCACGATTCTTGCGAAAGCCGGGAGAGTCGAAGAGGCCACATGGGTTTTCCGGCAAGCTTTTGATGCAGGGGAGGTTAAAGACATATCTGTGTTTGGCTTTATGATCAATCTTTACTCGAGAAACCAGAGGTACGTCAATGTCATCGAAGTGTTTGAGAAGATGAGAAGCTCTGGCTATTTTCCGGACTCAAACGCGATAGCTATAGTGTTGAACGCGTACGGGAAGCAAAGAGAGTTTGAGAAAGCGGATACGGTTTACAGAGAAATGCAAGAGGAAGGATGTGTTTTCCCTGACGAAGTTCATTTTCAGATGCTGAGTTTGTACTCTTCGAAGAAAGATTTTGAGATGGTTGAATCTTTGTTTGAGAGATTGGATTCTGATGCTAATGTTAATAGCAAGGAGTTGCATCTTGTTGTGGCGGCTTTGTATGAGAGAGCAGATAGACTCAACGATGCTTCAAGAGTCATGAACCGAATGAGAGAACGAGGAATCCTAAAGCCTTTTGCTGGATGATTCATGTCATATGTAATATGATTTGGTTCTTCATGTACAAGCTTGAGTAAACAAACAATCTGTATGTTCATCTTCAGTTCTAACTGTTGTCTTGTTGATGATTTTAATTTGTTGATATCCAAATTATTATACTACGTACTTGTTAAGCTTAGGGATGTTTAACCTAACAAAACCGAACCGGAAAAATAATATCCGAAAATCAAAGTCAGTCGGTTATATTTTTTAAGAAATCAAACTCGAACCAAACCGAAAAGAAAAAGTCGATCAAAACTTTTAATTTTCTTTGAAAATCTAAAAAAAAAATACTTCATTAAAATCTAAATGCGATTTGAAAGATCTAAAAGATACACAAGCGAATATCAGAATTTTGCTATGGTTTTAATTTGGATATAGAAAAAAAAAACAAATTAATCCAAATCAAATATCAAACCCAAACCGAAATCTAGAAGGTGTTATTGGTTCTTGTATTTTAATGGATTTGAGAATCCAAACCAAATTCGGTGTTATTAGTTCTTGTATTTTAAAATTTATATTGAAATACAGTGTTATTGGTTCTATGATTTTAAAATCCATAATGAAATACAATGTTATTGGTTCTATCATTTTAGAATCTAAATATTATAAGGATTTGAGTTTTAATTGAATTTGAATGGATTTGGAAGGATTTTCATGACTAAAATACAAAAACCCAAATACAAGGTCTAACCTTAGTATTTGAGTGAATTTGAGTTTTTTCTATTTTGCTGATTTTGAAATCAATAAATTTATCAAATCCAAAGAAGATTTATAAATCCACCAAAATACAAGAACCAATAACCAATAACCCCTACCTAAATTATATATTAAATCATTTCTTAATATATCCAAGTTTGTGTATTTTGTGTCGGATCATTCAGTTCTATCTATATATCCAATTTAATTTATATAAATTAATTATTTTGGTGTAGGAAAAAAAATCTAAAAATTACTTTAACATGAGATACATGGTATATATTATATAATTTAATTGTGGGGCATCCAAATCTGCTGTACAGGAAAGTAAAAAATCTAAAAATGATCTGAATTATAAAGAACTTATATACATTGTTAAAAACTTACTAAATTATCGTGATTATCCAAAAAAATTTTAAGCATGAGAATTCAGTGTTGTTCATCCAACAAGTACTCGATCTAATGATAAATCCGGTAATTATTCAAAATATATTTAATTACATGTATGTCTACCTGATATTCAAGATACTGGTAATGTTAATAACATTAATTATTTACATGTACTAATCCTCCTAATATGTCATTCAGGATACTGGTAATATTAATAACATTAATTATTCACATGTACTCATCCTAATATGACATGCCTAAATAAACACCCCTAGATTAGTTGTTGTTACTTTCACGGCTTCACAAATTAAAGTCCTACGTTGACTTATTAGTTACCAGTATAAATGGGCTTTTTAAGTGGCCCATGACCTAGATTCCAGAATGTTTATTTTTTTTTCCGCTTAAGATCTGATCTGATTTTAATGCGCTTGACCAGTAAATCCTACTGTTTTCGTTATTTCCATATCCTTCTCTCTCTCTCTCTCTCTCTCTCTCTCTCTCTCTCTCTGTTTTTGTCTCTCCGTTTTTCAGTTCTTTAAATCCTAGTAACGTCATTTTCCTCCCTCATCGATCAGAAAGATAAACTTTTCCCAACAAAAATTCAAACCCTAATTGCAAAGATTTCAGTTCTAATTCTCCATCTTCCCAAGTTTCAGTTTTTATAAATGGGTTTTCTTGTAACGTTTCCTCAAAATCCGAGAAAAATAGTGAAAATGTGTCAACTTTGAATTGACCTTCTTTAAAGTGGGTTTTGATTTTTTTTGTTTGTCTTTTGGATTCGATGAAGAAATTGAGAAGCTATTACTCGAATGTGAGGCATCATCAGAATCATCATCATAATGCTCTTTCGGAGAGGAAATGGATTTTTTTCCCTATTGTGATTGGTTCAATCTTCGCTCTCTTCCTACTGTTTCTCACAACCCTAACTTCACCAAACGGAGCCCGATTCCTCCCTTTTACCCGACCCGTTTTATTAACCGGATCTGGATCATCGGCTTTCGTCGAATCGAAGATCAAACCTAAGCCAATCTCTTCCCTCCCTACTCCGCCGCGATTCGCTTACTTGATTTCTGGATCCGCCGGCGACGGGAAATCTCTCCGGCGAACTCTTTTGGCTCTCTACCATCCGAATAACCGGTACGTTGTTCATCTAGACCGAGAATCTTCGCACGATGAGAGAGAGGATCTCCATGGATACATTCGAAACTCGTCCTTGTTTGGAAGATTCAACAATGTTCATATGATCGAGAAGGCTAATCTCGTGACGTATCGTGGACCTACGATGGTCGCGAATACGCTTCACGCAGCGGCGATTTTGCTCAAGGAAGGAGCTGATTGGGATTGGTTCATCAATCTCAGCTCCTCAGATTATCCTCTAATGACTCAGGATGGTGAGATTCACACAAAAACATGAAACTTTGCTACAAAAATTGAAACTTTGTTATGATTTTTCACACAAGGTTTGACCTTTTTTTTTTGTTGGGTGTTTTGTATATCAGATTTGTTGCATATATTTTCGCATTTACCTCGGGATTTGAACTTCATTGATCATACTAGTAACATTGGATGGAAAGCGTAAGAGGACAAAGTTTGGAGTTTTTGTTATTTTCTGTAGCTTTTGTTTCATAAAGTGAAACTCAGACTTTGGAGTTGTTTTTGTCTTGGATTCTATCAGATCACAAAGAGCAAAACCGGTAATTATAGATCCTGGACTGTATTTGAACAAGAAGTCTGATGTTTTTTGGGTTACTCAAAGACGAAGCATCCCAACAGCATTCAAGCTCTTCACAGGTGCTTGATCCCTTTAAACCCGGAATCGATTTGATAGACTTGGTTGCTCGTCTTCGTCTTTAAGTTCGAAGTTGGATTTGCTAAGATTTGATCTACTTCTAGTTGGTTGAACAACACTGAATCCTCATGCTTAAATTGCTAAGCAAAACTGTCTCATCTCTGAGCAATTTCCAGAGTTGATTCATTGTCTTTATGTTGCATAGCTGTTTAGTCCGATTGGTCTTTCTCAGATTTGCTCCATTTCTCATTGGTTGAACAACACTGAATCAGTATGCTTAGACTGCTAGGCAAAACCTTTCATCATATTCAGAACATTTGCTAACAAAATGTATGAACATGATCTTTAAAAGTTGGGTGTCCTGTCTCCTGTGTTGCCTTGCCTTAGATTGTGTGGAAGACATTTGTGAGAATCACACACATTGTTTGGATTTCAGATTCTCTTAAACTAACATGTGATACTTGGAAACAGGCTCTGCTTGGATGGCGTTATCCCGGCCATTCGTCGACTATTGTATTTGGGGATGGGACAATCTACCTCGTACGGTCTTAATGTACTACTCGAATTTCCTCTCTTCACCGGAAGGATATTTCCACACCGTGCTCTGCAACGCCGAGGAGTTCAGAAACACAACAGTAAACAGCGACCTGCACTTCATATCGTGGGACAATCCGCCTAAGCAGCATCCTCACCATCTCACTCTTGCAGACATGAACAAAATGGTCAATAGCAATGCACCGTTTGCAAGAAAGTTCAGAAGAGAAGATCCTGTCCTCGACAAGATCGACGATGAGCTTCTTAACCGAGGTCCTGGGATGGCTACACCTGGTGGTTGGTGTATTGGAAGCAATGCAAATGGGACTGATCCTTGTGCTGTTATTGGTGACACCGACGTTATCAGGCCTGGTCCAGGTGCTAGACGGCTCGAGAATCTGGTTACTTTCTTGTTATCACCTGAGCATTTCAGACCAAAACAGTGCAAGTAAAATCTCAGTGAATCACATTGCAGAACATCACAGAGATTGATTCTAGCATACTTCATTATTGGGTTTAGATGTGATTTAGGATCTGATAGTGTCTATCTTTTAGTCAAGAGTATAAATGAAGATACTGAACAAGTAGGAGGCTATGGCTCTTGGGAAGCATGTGTGTCGCAGATAATTGTATTGTTTGTAGTTCTCACATGTTCACAGATTTATCAGATTGGAATTTTGAGTTTTTTTGTCGAGTGTTCACTTCTATTTCTTTCTATGAAAACTTTTTACTCTGCTTTTCAAGTTCTATATTCACCAAGTTGCATCTTTTATTCTTATTGAAGGGAAATGTCATTTGAACTAAAACATTACAAACATAGAGGAATCACTAATAAGAGAGGAACAATATAAGCTCATCAAACACAAGATCGAGTCAAATCATCAAAAGAAACTGAATTTGTTGTTTTTCTTCTTGTCTCCATCGTTTTGGCTCCTCTGTCTGTTCCTCTTATCCTCCAGAGCTTTGATCAGATTGTTCAAAGATCCATCAACGTCTATTAGATGATTTCTTGCCATCAAGTTCTCTGCGACATCAGCTGGAGAAATCTCTATCTCCTTCAACAAAGACTCGATTTTCCCGAACAGAGGATGATCACCAAGATCCAGGTAGTTCTTGGCAAGAATCTTGAAAGCTTCGTGAGTGCAGTAAGACAACTCAATGTGCATATCCATTCTTCCTCTCCTGATCAAAGCCGGGTCTAGTTTTTCCAAGTGGTTCGTTGTGAACACAACAATCCTTTCTTGCCCACAAGCCGACCAAATACCATCAATGAAGTTTAGAAGCCCAGAGAGTGTTACCGAGGTTTCGTCTTTATCTTGTTCTCCATTCTTTTGACCCCTCGTGTTTCTGTCCTTCTTAATTCTGTTACCGGTGAGATCTACAGAGCAATCTATGTCCTCAATCACAACAATTGACTTGCTAGATGTCGCTGTAAGCAGTTTCCTCAACTCCGAGTTGTCCTTTATAGCCGTGAGTTCAAGATCATAGATGTTATAGTTCAAGAAGTTAGCCATGGCTGAAATCATGGTGGACTTACCGGTTCCTGGTGGTCCATACAACAAGTAGCCTCGCTTCCAAGCTTTCCCTATCTTCTTGTAGTACTCTTTCCCATTGCTGAATGCTACAAGGTCACTCGTGATCTCTTCTTTCTTCTCTGGATCCATGGCTAATGTCTCAAAACTCGCCGGATGCTCAAACTCGATATGTCTCCACATGTTCTGGCCGTAAACCCATTGAGAACTAGGGTTATTCGTGAACAACTTCGTCTGCTTTTTCTTGGCTTCGATCAATTTGCCTTCTTCAACTACATATTGTACATATGAATCGGTTATGAGACTCCTTGCACGGTTGTGAAAAGTGAGCTTGAAAGATCTTTCTCCATCGGAACTAGTCACAATCTCCCACCAAACATTAGCTCCTTTGTATTCGTCTCTGACCTTAGCCTCGTCTCGTTTCAAGACCAGATCTTTGTTTTCCTTCACTTGGCTTCCTTTGAGATGTTTGGATTTGTCGGTTGCTTTTGACCCAAGGTAGGTCTCGATGGCTGAGAAAGCGTGGTTGAGACGGTATCCATCACTCTCCGGGAAGTTAATCTCCACATAAGGAGAGAAGAAGTTGGTAAAATGATCAGAAACACTTTGAGCGAAACAGAGTTGTTGGAATGAAGACAAAAGAAACTCTTTGATTGCAATCTTCATGTGATTAGGGAAGATTTGTTGAATTGTTGCCCAAATAAAGAACAAACTTGCCATGCCTGAGCCTATGCTTCCAAATGTATCGCCCATCATCATCATTGTTATTATACCAATAATAATGATCTTTGTTCTTCGTGTTGTTTCTGTGTTTTTTTGTTTGTGTCAACTCTCTTGGAACTCTTATTTATAGCAAATGAGGCTGGTCATATTGTTTATATTATATAGTCCTACGTACATTAGTTAAAATTTCTCCGTTTGACGTGTGTTTGATTTTTCTTATATGTAGGTGGTCTTTTAATATAGTTAATATAAAAATAACGCATAAGTCATCTTTTTCTAATCCCATACCAAAAACTAAAACTAATGTATTCTACGGACGAGATCTAATCACATATATTAAAAACCCATATCTGCCAATCTGGACCGTTAAAAAGGTTTCATTATTTTATTGTATCCGATCCTAATGTACCAAAAAGACAGTCGCATTACGGAAATTTACGGCACATATTTTGAAAAGCATTAACTCTCAATCTGGACCGTTCAAATGCATTCCCATTCATCCGCTAAAATGAACGGTTTTGGATTTCGTTGATAATTTTGTGACGAAATCCAAACTGTCAAAAAACAAAAATGTTATTTTTCGACGAGCAATTTCTTCACTGTGACGTGTGAAACTCGGTGGAATATGAACTATGATAAAATTAATTCTGATTTTTTGGTAAAATTAGACGAGCTACTGTAATTAAAAGCTTAAATGGTAACTGAAGTATCTAGATACCTCTTCATCAACCCAGACTAATGAAGTCGATCGAAGCATGAAGCATCTAGCGTGATAACTAAACAAACTAATGGATTAGTAAATAAATTCAAAATTAATATGAATGAATATGAATCATATTGATTGGTAAAATTGGGTTGTTCCTCCATGATTTTTGCGTTATCTTTTGCCAAGAATTTTTTTTGAAATATTGGAAATACAATTTTTTTTCGTAGAGAACAAAACCTAATGATCTAAGTCATTTTGACATCGTTTATTGGTTTTGTCTGTAAATTGTTAAATTTCACCAATTCTACCATTAAAAAGCAGAACTTATCATTTAACACTTATATGCTTTCTGCAACGTGTTGAACCAACGACTTCTCCAACTAATTATTGTTTTTAGTTTTTCACTTACATAAATTTGTATGTATATATGTATGTGATCTCAACCGTTTAAGTGATCGCCTTTGTTGACTTGAGCATCTCGATCATCGGCTCAGATTTCCTCATTGAAGAAACTCACTTTTTATGGGTCTTTAAAAAAAAATTTCTTTGTGAAGTCTTTACTTTAGTTTAGTTGTACCGACCGTTTTGCTATTTCCCTTGAATTTCGTTTATTTTCGAATGTTCCGAGCAAAATATAGGCAACATTTAGACATTTTCTAGGCATTTCTCACGCAGAATTTAAGCAAAACTTAAGAAAAACTTAAGAAAAACTTAAGCATTTCTTTTGTATAATCAAACTGTCTTAGATTTTGTAACATTAAAATGATTAAGTAATAATAACAGAAACAGTGTTACCACGGTTATCAATGGCTGCAGTTCACATTTTCCATTTTTTCTAGTAAAAAGCATTGAGAAAAAAAGTTGTCCACGAGAAGGTTGATCATAAAAACACCTCACTTCGTATAACAATGTGTAATGCCGTCTTGTTCATGTGCCTATCCATATCGTTGAATTAAAGCTGATGTATTAAAATATCTTCATTAAAAGGATTAAAGCTGATGTTTGGAATATTTTCCCAAGTTTTAATTTGCACCACAAATGCTACTTAAACACTATTTTCTCTGTTTTTTAAAGTACTAGAGTTATAGTATGGCCTTGTAATAATCGGTGGTACATATAATAGATATGATGATCTCTATAAAGACTTGACAAGTACATAATTTGTAACGGGAACACACTTGGAACCTCATACCTGGTTACATAACCACCGATTATTGACAAGTACATGATGATCTCTGCGAACAGCGTTTAGGTCAGAAAATGATTGGGTATAAGGCTGCGCCGGCCTATTTGTTATTGGACACCTGCTATGATTTGGCCAGCGCCAAAAATGTGAACATAACCAGCATAAAATTCTCATTCCTGGGCGGCATCATCGTCGCACTCGACATGAAAAGTGTGTAATGTTAAGCCATCGCAAATCTGTCTGGTAGCAGAAACACGCAGCAAAAGACTCTACAGGTAGGTTCTTGTCGTCTTTGTTCGGTGAAAACGCCATACATACTTGCTGATATAAGATAGGAATCACTCTAACTTATGATTATACGATCAAGAGAATTTCAAGCTTATGATTTGAATGTGGGATGAAGTTGGAATGGAAGTGGAACTGGGGTTGATTGACTCGCTCAATCGGTGGGTTGACTGTAGTCGGTGGGATAGTTGACTTACTCAGTCGTTGGAACTAGCTTTGCCTAAATCACACAAACAAATATATTTCAAAAATCAGTAGAAACAAAATAATCATTCAATTGAATCTAAAGACAAATTGTTTAAACAAAAAATACTCTTTGAATTAAAAAAAAAAAACAAAGTTTTATATTTTTTTAGATCAAAAGGGATGTCTTACAAATGAAACAACTATGAGCTTATATAAACAATAACTCTTAAGAAATAATTAAGCAAAAATTTAAAAAAGATAAAAAAGAATGACTAAAGGAATTTTTGATCCATTTGATGAGTGATGGGGGGATTGGCTAGAATTAAGAGATTCTTTGCTGACTTTGTATCTGAATGGCTTGAGGGTAGGGGTGGGAACAAAAAACGTAACCGAAAAAACCAAACCGTACTGAACCGAAAAAAGTGATATGATTTGGTTATGGTTAAACCTAAAAGTCCATTTGCTTATCATTTTTTTATAGTTTTGGTTTATGTTTGGTTTGGTTAAAAACTGTCAAACTGAAAGGTTTTTCGGTTTTAAAACTAAATTTTTAATAATTTATATTTTTTTTTAATTTAGTTTGGATTCATATTTTATTATTAAGCTTAATTATCTTTATGATTTACTTACTTAACTCATAAATTTAAAATATAATATTTATAAAAAAATATCTATATAGAAATAATAAAAAGTTGTAAACCTTATTTTTCAATCAAAAAAAAAAAAATATTTTTGGTTAACTCCTCTTTCTTTATATTCAAATCTTCTATTTCTAACCTTTTAGGTATTTAATTTTAATTTATCTTTATTTATTGTTTTTTAGTCATTGATTTTGAAAAGTTTGATACTTTATTTGTTTATATGTTTTGAAATGTGTTCTTGATATTCAAATTTGATTCATTTGTAGTCTTTAAATATATTATAAATTTATAACTATAATTAGATCTTATATAAATATAAATTATTTTTAATATTTATATATTATAAATTTTGTATATCTGAGATTTATAAACGACATGAGGAGACGAACAATAGTGGCTGAAGAGTGAAGACAATGATAAGAATCTGTTTTTTTATATAGCTTTTGGTTTTTATAAATTTAGTTTTTACTGATGCATCTTTTATGATTTGGATTTTATTCTTTAAACGTTTTGTTTTATTTTATTCATATCTATTATTATTATTTATATTAATTTAAATCAAATTCTTTCATAATAGTATAATTTCGAAAAAATCGAAACCAAACTATTCCAAACCGAACCAAGTTACATATGGTTTTGTTATGGTTTTAATTATTTTAAACCCGAAAAACCAAAAACCAAAGAAAACCAAACCATACCAAACCGAAATATATAAGGCTTTTATATGGTTTGAATTTTTATAAAATCGATAAACCGTGAAACCGAAGAAATCGAATCGAAACCAAACCGAAAACCGAAATATCCACCCTACTTGAGGGACTAATTGTGCTTCCGTGGGACGATTTTCCTTCTCCAAGAATGATGGAATTCTGCTCCAAAAATGGCAATTGTGATCCGTCTGATCAGGTGTGGTCTAGTATAGCTTAAGAAGTGTGGATGTGTAGATATTAACTCCAAACCATTGAAGTTTTGAAGAGATAGCCGTTGGTGCTCTTTTACTCCAAGTGTGAATATGTCTTGATATGGTAAGTTTGTAAGCAATGGAATCCGCCTGATCCTGTGAGTGATGGTGCAGGGAACGGTTCTAGCTAACTCTCCTGATTGGTGTATTAACTCTCCTGAATGGTTTGATGCCTCTCCTGGTCGCCAAAATTTAGTTTGCAAATGATTAAACTCGTCAGCTCCCATATAAGGCAAATTGAGCATCCACCGGTTTAAAAGTCTAATAACTTTTAAACCGTAATGAATTTTGGTATGAATCCAATTTTTCTCGGTTCCTTGATGAGTTAAGTTTCCAAAAAATCCGGTTTCATTGTTTGATTCGTCGTGATTTGGCTGGAACGATTTAATTAGTACTCGCATATCTCCATCAGGTCCATTGAAGATCTTCCAATTTGTATCTTCAATATCTTCTTCATATGAACTCCTTTTTAACTGATTCTTCTTCGTGGTGAACTCTGGAAGCGTTGAGTATGCGCTCCAAGTGTTTTTGAGTTTGGATTTTTGATATCAACCTCCATTTGAAATGAACTCCACTCGCATGTCTCTTTAGCTCTCCTCAGCTTCATGTTCTCTACTTCATGAATCTTGGATCCATGCTCCTTGGCTGATGATGACTTGATGTCCTCATTACTTGCGATGGCTTAACATTATACAAAGCACCCTTTCTGTCGAGTGCGACGAAAATGCCGCCCCGGAATGAGAATTTTATGCGGGGTATGTTCACGCTTTTGGTGCTGGTCAAATCGTAGCAGGTGTCCAGTAACGAATAAGCCGAGGCAGTCTTATACCCAGTCATTTCTGACCTAAACGCTGTCCACAGAGACTCGTATGCCTTGGGAGGGAGGCGACTGATAACGCAGACGAAATCGATGATGGCTATCGATTTAGAGAAGACGGTTGAAGGAATAACCAATTTGTGATTGCCGACCATAATACCTTCGATATTGATGCCATAGTAGGATGGGCCTGCGGCATGGGAAATCGGCGTGTATTTTATGTCAGTAGAGGTTCCGGCGGAGCCGAATGTCAGTAGAGGTCTCCTATGTATTCGGGGCCAGAAGGTATGCAGTAGGAGACGGTTCACCGTCTGCGACCGAAATGAGAGAGTGCCGCGGCCAAGGCCGAGAAGTCCGGTGTAACCCTTGAAAAGTCCCTGGTTTTTCCGACCGCAGCCAAAGTTGAATGCGTTGAAAACATGGGAGGTAGTTTGACCTGTCCCCGTGTCGGACAAGGTAGATGCAATTTGGAGAAACCGAACTGAGAACTAATCGAAAAGTATGTGAAATTAGAAATTGAGACTAAAGCTTGGTAGTACATAAACCAGAGAACAAAAAATTGCCAACCAAACCTGGTGAAGAAGCACACATCGGCGATGATATATCATGATTTTCTGGATTTTTAACCATGATATAAGTTTTATAAATATAGTTTTTTTGTATATTTTGAGTCTTTTTGAATTTTTACAAGTTTGTGTATGTTTGTAGCTTATTTGGAGATATTGGCAAATTTTGGAGCTAAACATTTTTACACCGATTTTAAATATTTTTAGAGATTTACAAGTTGGCCCAGAAATATCATTTATTTGCAGATTAGCTCTAGTCGTGTTTTAGACTATATTTAGGTTTTTCCAGCCATTTTTGGGAAATAGGTTTTTATTCTATTTGAGACTTATAGAAAGATTTGTTTCAGAGCTTTTGAGGAGATAATTCTAATACTCTTTGAGAGAAAAAATTGGAACCCCTTATATCTTTTACTTCTTTTTCTTTTTATGCAATTCATTCTTTCTCTGATGTTTATTTCAATAACTATGTCTGAATAGTTTGATTGTTAGGATTAAAGCAAAGGTTGAAGATGAATTGTTAGATTTGTATTTTTTCTAGTATAATCATGTAATGCTTCATCTTTATCACACTAAACGCTAATTCTGGTTTGATAACCTGTAATTCAGATCTTAGGTTAATTAACATATGCAAAAATATTATTGATTGTCCACAAAATTCGCAAAGAAATTTGACTTAGGAATTTTGTGGACAATCGAGCCTAAATGTTTGAATTGTTTGAATTTTCAAAAAAATTTAAGATTCTAGAGTTTAGATATAGATAATCTCTGCAACAAAAGTTGGTTAATTGTGTTTCAAGTTCAAGAACAAATCCTTATAAAATCCTAACGGTTTTCTTATTTGCAATTCGAATTTACCTAAGAATTTTTCAAGGTCAAGTGTTTGTCTCATTGATTAAAACTTGTTTTCAACAACTTCTCCAACTAATTTTCATTAGTAATTTCATTCTACATATTATTATCTGCTTAGATTAATTCGAATTTGAAAATTTGTTGTGCAATATTAAGTAGGGAAATGGTAACCCTTTTATACTATAACTGCTATTATGTGCGATTGCAGTGATTTTTCTAAAGTAAAACTAGAGTTATCAGTTAATGCTGTGATTCCCCTATCTCTAAAAACTCAGTTTCAGATGATATTATAACTCGTGCAATTCATTATGGCCCATAGTAAGATCCAAATAACATCAAGCATATGGTCGAGTCCATGAATTTTTGGTTATTAATTTTCAATAACGTAAAATTTTAATATAATGTATAATTATTATATATAACTAGGTATTTACCCGCGCTACTCTGGAGGATATTTTTCTAGATTTGTATATATTTTTAATATAATAAAATTATTTATATATTTTAAATGAGTATTATATTTATTTTTTAATAGCTTAAGTTATGTATTTATATATTTTAAATCTGAATAAACATTATATATCATTAATTTTTTTTATTTTTAAAAATTATAATATACTATCAAATTTGTTTAGCTAACTATCTATAAATGTATATGTAAGAATAAAACAATATATTTTTAAGTATTTTCAAGCTAATGGTAGATGTAATTTATTTTCTCTACTGAATTGCTACTTGATCCTCCTTTGAAATTATATAAAGCAAATTGCCATTTAAAAAATATTAATTAATATAATTATTTTAAATTATAAAATTTATTTATTTATCAAATATTTATTATAGACATATATTTCTAAAACTACCAAACTATAATCAATAACATTCATATCAAAATTATTACTATTAGTTTAGAACTAAATAGAAAGTTCTATTTGAACTGTTGAAATATCAATTTATGTTGAAGTTAAATAATTCAATTTTGGTTACTATAAACATATTATAACTTGAAAATTTAGCACAGAAAAATTTTATCTTTTTACAAAAACCGAGAAATTGCATTTTCCGATAAAACAAAAAAAAATTACTTATTCCCGCCAAAACCAAAAAAAAAACTCATTTTCTTGTCCAACATAAAATTTCATTTTCCTACCAAAACAAAAAAATTGCATTTTCCCTCAAAAACCAAAAAAATCACATTTTCCCGCAAGAACCTATGTTTTTCCGTCAAAACGGAGAAATCAAGTTTTTTCACCAAAACCAAAAAAATTCATCTTCTTACAGAGCAAAAAAAAAGTATTTTTCCGTCAAAACCAAAAAATTATTTTCCCGCAAAAATCGAGAAATCGTCTATTTCCCACCAAAACAAGAAAAAATATTTGTTCTCATCAAATCAAGAATCATGCCTTCCTACCAAAACTGATAAACTACAATTTCCGCAAAAACCAAAAATTGCATTATCTCCTGAGAAATTGCGTTTTCCACGAAAACTAAAAAATCATATTTTCTCTCGAAAACCAAAAATCAAATTATATGTCAAAAACTGAAAATTTGCATTTCCCATCAAAACCAAGAAATTGTTTATTCCCTCCAAAATCGAGAAATTTTGCTTTTCTATCAACCCGATAAATTGCATTTTCTGCCAAAATTATCTAACTACATTTTTCCGCAAAAATCAAGAAATTACATTATCCATCAAAAACCAAAAAATTGCATTTTCTATCAAAACCGAGAAATCGTATTTTTTGTCAAAATTGAAAAGTAGCATTTCCCTCGCATTTTCTCGTCAAAATCAAATTTTTTATTTCTCACCAAAACCAAAAATTTATATTTTTCCACCAAGTCCGAGAATTCGCTTTTTTCCGCCATAACCGAGAAACTATGTTTTCCTACCAAAACTGAAAATCACATTTTTTTACCAAAACCAAGAAATTCTCTATTTCCGCCAAAGCCAAGAAAATTTGTTCTCAGTAACCAGTGGAAATGCGAATCTCCAAGCTGTGGTGGTCTGAGTTTCTCCTCATTTGCTTTCGCCTTCCATTTTTTTTGTAAACTTTGGGCTTTTTAATGGGTCAGCAAAATAGTAAATTAATTTTATTAGTGTGTTAATAATATGTATTATTGTTATGTTTTTATTGGTTCAAATTTTTGCTGATGTGTGAGCTTCTTATAACAATGCTTTTTGCATTGTTGTTATGGAAGCATAGTTGATGATGAGTCTACACTTTCTTCAATCATATATCAAGCAAACACATAGTTAGAAATTTTTTTTTTTGCTGTTATTTATTATTTGAGTTTCGGTTTGGCAAAAATATAAAACAAAGATTTAATTTTATTATTTGTTGTTATTTATTATTTAGGTTTGGCAAAAAAATAATTTTTTTTTGCTGTTATTTATTATTTGGGCTTGGGCTTGACAAAAAATAAAACTAAAATTAACAATAAAAAATATTTGGATTTTTAATGGGTTTAAATTTAAAAATTAAAACAAATTGATGATTTGTATTAATGAAATGTTTTTATTGGTGTTTTTTTCTGCTGAAGTGTCATCTCCTAAAAACTTGAAAATGCTGATGTGTCAAGTCATGGAGAGACTTATGGGTTATTGTTGTGTTGATTTTCTGTTTTTGAAATTTTAATTATTTTTAGATTTATAGTTTACCTCTTTAATTTGAATTAGGACCACATTTTCATCATTTGATTACCATATATCATGTAAATGGGAGGACCTGCGCTGATAGTGAAACACATTTTGCCTTTAGTTCGGAGATGAGACAAATGTTGAGCTGTGAGTACGCAAATCATTATTGCAAATTGAAACAGTTTGTAACTAGTTTACATTATAGGAACGTTCAACTAAAATCATAGCAATCGTGTCGCATATCAGTAGGAAGTATAGCGGTCTAGATATGTGTCTTGCAGAATTATTGGGGTGCACGTAAGCTGACAAGATTGTGAAATCCTAGACATAGATTTTAACTCGTCCATCATCTCCTCATTATCTTCTGGATTGTTGATTGCAACTCGTTTTAAACACCTAGAGTTGGCAAGAATGTATCTCACGAGTTCCTTCTCTTGGGTTCTTCCTCCATATCTTTTCCATTCAAAGATCTCGAGATGGTTTAACAAGCATTTGGGAACAGAACTCGGATGGTTCCAAGAAAGCGGGAAATCCTCTCTTAGATAGATCTGGTAAGATGCAAGAGATATTAACAAGGGAAATATACTTTGTTTGAGGTAGGGGAAGAGTACGAACCAGGTTGATAAAAAGCACTTTTAGTTTGGGACAATTTTGAACAAAAACCATAAGTGGTTCCAACCAGTCTAGCTCAAAAGGTTGTATCTCACACTCTATCAGTTGAAAGAAAGTAATGGTGGTAAAACACACAACCTGTAATGAACATAATTACATGAGAGAGAGAGAGAGAGAGAGAGAGAGAGAGAGAGAGAGAGAGAGAGAGAGAGAGAGAGAGAGAGAGAGTACGTACAGTTGGAATGCCCAAAACTATCTCCAGAAGTACGGTGGAAGCAAGAGATCTCATAAACTTGTCATTATCGCAAGTAACGTTTATATATGCCTTATCAAGGCGATATGTGTTTTCAAACGAGCAAGAGTCTCCCGAAATATCATTGATGATGATTGTCTTTAAAAGAGGAGAATCAATAACCAAAGACCTCTTAATACCTTCCTCTTCTTCTCTATCTGGACATTTATAAATTAAGAGCTCTAGAGAAGATACTTTCACATTGAAGTTGATCACGTTGTCTTCTATATGTCGCTCCACATGTAAATTTTTGAGAATAGGACAACTTGATAAAATTCCAACTTGAGAATCTTCGTCTTTGAACACAACAGAGAGAAGAACGAGAGAATTGAGGGGTGGGAGGCAAGCCGGGGAAACAATATCCACGAAAATCTTGTTGGAAAGACTCAAAAAGACGAGTGTATCGCATGTGTAAAGGCTCTCCGGCAAGTTGATAGGTTTTTTAGACCACATGAGATCGAACTTTAGTCTGCACACCCCGCGATCAACCGCATTTTCAATCCACTTTCCCACATCAACATCAACAGGGCATTGTGATCCAAGTTCGACATAAATGTATTCTAATACAGGTGCTTTGTGGAGTTGCAGTGACTTATCAAAAAAATGCCAAATGCTTTTACCGTTATTTTTCTCTTCGTACTCGAGTTCTGGCATCATCGTCCAAATATACTGCCACCCTTTTGACAAAATCATAGTACCCACTGCATCTTTTATTAGAACAAGCATCAATATCTTCACTAGCAAATCGTCGGGTAAAACATTTATCATGTTTTCACCTTCAGTTCTCAGGCAATTTTCGGCTTTTGTGTCTAAAGATTTTTTCTCCATGAAAGTACACAAGAAACAAGATCGTGACCAAATGTTACGAATTCGTTATACACACAATCACATTTTATATTACTATTTCTTTTAAAAAAACAAATATTAGGATAAGAACAAAATATGAAGATGTTAATAAAATATAGATTTATTTCTTTCAAGATTTACTTTTCATTGTTTATGTCATATTTTTTTTATAATATATATCTATTGATTTATGTAAATTTATGGTATTATAAAAATGTTGATTTATGTAGATCTTAAGAGATTTATGTTATCATAAATATATAAAATAGAAAATGTACATTATGTAAATTTTTATTTTACTTTTAACATCTATTTTATTGATAAATAATATTTAGTATTACATGAAAAATACAGAAAACAATAAAATACAAGATTTTAGAAAAACAATAAAAAAAAAAATAATAAACTTAGCAATATTTTTTTTATTTAAAGTTATTAAATCCATGATAAAATCGTAAGAGAAACTAAAGTAAAAATGTATAATTCATGGATTATGTGCTATTGAAGTCTGCTAGTAATAAATTAAACATCTTTTTTTTTTTTGGTAAGCTTTTGGGGAGTAGGCTCCCCTATTTATTCAAGTGAACCAAACTTACACACGAACTCTCCTAGACTGTGCAACTCTCTGAGCATCTTCCGACAAGACTGGTACAATATTTTCGGGTACAACAGAGAAAAAATGAAATCCTAAGGGTAAATCAAAAGCATAGTTTGCTAACTCATCAGCAAGACGGTTAGTCTCCTTATACACATGCGTAATCCGGACAATCCAGTCCTTTGAAAGAAAGCCATAGCACAGCCGTACTAGGAAGGACAGGGGATGACAATCACTAACCCCTGACGTCAAAAAACCCACTACTATCTTCGAATCAATCTCCAACTCCACTCGTGTCTCTCGGCGTTCCCAAGCAATGTAGAGCCCATAATACACTCCCCAAAGCTCAGCTAAAGGTGCTGAACATATACCAATGTTCAGAGCAAAGCCCCCACACCAGTTTCCATTCTCATCTCTCAACGCTCCACCTGCTGTTGCCAGACCTAGATTGCCCCGAGATGCTCCATCTGTGTTAAGTTTTATCCACCCGATCGTTGGGAGGCGTCACACTATCATTCTCTCTTCTCGCATTATCTCTGCTCTAGTATCGTGCACCTTATCATGTGCTAGTATCACCTCTTGTGCGAGTTCTTTGATGAACCGAACTCTATCTCGACATCTCTGTATGCTCCCGAAGATATTCCCACACCGCCATTTCCATCCCCACCATACAGCTATCGCAAACATTGTAGACCAGGGGACATTCCATACCAGCCTAGGATCTCCCAAGTTACTATAGATCCACTCGAGCAATGACATTTCAAAGAAGTCTCTCCGCTTCCCAGCTGGAACAATCCTCTCCCAAATTCCAGACATCGCGGGGCAGTCTCTAGTGATGTGCAATATCGTTTCCTCCCCCCCCTTTACATACCTGACATATGCCGGATGAGCTCAAGTGTCTTCTCTGTCGTTCCATATCTGTCATTAGGACTTGATGGACTCCTAACCACAGGAAAGCTCGAATTCGCTCCGGAACCTTGACTTGCCATACTCGCTCAAACATACGCTGCATATTCGGCCTTGGAGTGTTATTCAGTGTTAGAAACGCATATGCAGACTTCACAGTGAACTTCCCATCTTGGGACTCACCCCAGGAAATTCTGTCTCTCGCCCCTGTCACACTATCAAGAACCACTGACCTCATCTTCAATCTAGTCTCCTCAGACGTGAAAGGTGTGATTTGGGGAATCAACCACCCCCTTTCGCTACACCAAACATCCCGAACTCGCACATTTATCATACCTTCCGGGATCGTAGCCTCCATGTCATCGGCTAAGGGCTTCTCAAGTAGCCACTTATCTCTCCAGAAGAGTACTTTCCGACCGTCACCAATAATCCACTTCAGCCCTGGTAACACAGCCTCCCTCATTCCCATGATCACACTCCTCCAGGTTGAAGACCATGTACTACTAGGCTTCATCCACTCCATGTCATGCATGTCCGTCACTTTGTATTTACTTCTCAATACTTGTGCCCAGAGACTAACGTGATCATGTAATAATCTCCATCCAAGCTTCGCAAGCAGAGCTGTATTCATTTTCTGAGACATCCGGATTCCTAGACCCCCCTCCTTCTTCGGTAAACACACTTTCTTCCAGGCGAGAAGATGTTGTTTCTTCTTCTCAGCTGTACTTCCCCAAACAAAGGAACGTGAAATCCGGTCTAGTGTCTTAATAGTAGCCTGCGGGAGAGCTATCGTACTCATGGTGTGTACAGAGATTGAGGAGAGGACTGATTTGGTTAAAGTCAGTCGTCCCGCGAAGCTCAGAAAGCGTCCCTTCCAGCCTGCCAGACGCGAGGAGACCTTCTCCACCACTTCCCCAAACATGTTCTTATTGATTCTTTTCTGCAATATAGGCATTCCTAAGTATCTTCCTAGCTCTCGTGTTGATTGTATCCCACTAGCAGCCGTAATGAGTGTCTCCAACTCCCGCTTTACATTAGCTGAGAAGAAAATTTTAGATTTCTCCAGACTCACCTTTTGTCCCGATGCAGAGCAAAACTTTTCAAGAACTTTCCTTATAACCCGAATCTGTGCAACAAAGGCTTCCGCAAATAAGATAAGGTCATCAGCAAAACACACGTGTGATATCTTCGGCCCTCCGCGAGATATACTAATAGGTTTCCATTCCTTATCCGCGATCGACTGATCAATCAAGTGACAGAGCCTCTCCAAACACATAACGAACATGTACGGTGATAAGGGGTCACCCTGTCTTAACCCTCGCTTTGGCTTAAAAGGTTCAGTTTTCTCTCCATTCCACAGTAGTGTCATCGATGGACCAGTCACACAGCTCATAATCCAGGTAACCCAAGTATCCGGTAACTTAGCTGCCCGTACTGTATCCTCCAGAAAGTCCCATCTCACCCTGTCATATGCCTTCTCGAGATCAAGTTTTAACAGCATCCATCCTTTACGTCCCTTTTTCCTGTGCATTGAGTGAACCACCTCTTGAACAATAACAATGTTATCCGCACTTAACCTTCCTGGGATGAAGCTAGACTGTGCCGGACCTATCAATTTTGGTATAACTCTCTTCAACCTTATAACCATTGCCTTTGTTATAGTTTTAAATAGCACGTTACACAAGCTGATAGGACGAAACTGCTTGATGGTCTCTGGTTTTAGTACTTTCGCAATCAAAACCACAATCGCATCATTCATTCCGCTTGGTAGAGTCCCCGTCTGAAAGAAGTCCAACACAAAACGAACCACTGATTCCCCTACAACGTCCCAACACTCCTGATAGAACACTGGCTGGAAGCCATCCGGTCCGGGAGCCTTGAATTTCCCCATACTGCGTATGGACCTCTCTACCTCAACTGCTGAAAAAGGTTTATTCCTTTTCTCGTGACTTCTGAAACCAGAGAACTTCTTCTTGTTCTAAGACAATCTCAAACTCTTTAAGTAGTGTCTCCTCCTTCCTTAAAAGATCGTCAGTTTGGATCGTCTCTAAAGAGCTTTGAATCTCTTGAATCTCAGCCATCAGCTTCTCCTTCTTCTGATGAATATCACCGAACACCTCTCTGTTCCATTTTCTGAGCTTGACCTGCAGTTCTCGTAACGCCTCCGACGTAGTCACTTCTCTATTCCAAGATGCTAAAAGCAACTCTTGGAAATCCGAATGTTTCAGCCAAGCCGCCTCAAATCTGAATGGCCTCCTTCTCGGGTTCCCTCTCACCACCGGTTGAAGCTGGATAAACAGCGGTGCATGGTCTGATGAAAGGAATGGTAAGTGTTGGACCGAAGTTTCCTGCCATTTCAATCGAGCAGACGCACAACATAGCACTCTGTCCAATCTTTTAGCAACGAAAGTGGTCTCCATTCTCCCTCTTTTTCATGTATATTTGTTCCCTATGAACCCCATATCTATCAGAGACAAATCATTCATCCATTCTCCGAATGCTAGTGAATCTGTCGACAGTCTTCCATTTCCACCCGTTCTCTCGTCGAGCCACACGATCGTATTGAAATCGCCTCCCATGATCACCGGTTCTGTCAAACTCTGTGTAATGCGGGTCAATTGACTCCAAATGCCACTTCGCCTGCTTACTGATGGAGCCGCATACACAACAACAAGGTGCATTACATCTTCCTCATTAACCACTTTTGCATGAATGAACTGGTCTGAAGACTCCAATATTGTAATCTCTCCTGCTTCAGACCGCCATAATAACCAAAGGCCACCACACTGGCCTACCGCGTCTACTCGGAATGAGCAATCAAACCCCAGCCCTTGACAAATCCTTCTCGCTCGATCTCCGCATGCATGAGTCTCAAAAATAGCCAGCACATCTGTTCTGAATCTCTTCAGCAGATATCGTATTGATCTCCAAAAATTGGGTTTGTTTGCCCCCCGGCAATTCCATAACAAGTAATTAATCATAGCTACAAGCTTATTGGACACCAGAACCACCGGGGCATCCCGTTACGCGACCGTCGGAGTTCCATCCTCCTCCGTCGTGTTCGTACCCATATATGTCTCATGACTACTGCGCTCGCTTGTCTCCGCCAGGGAGTTTCCCTCCATAACTAGTGTTGTCTGTTCATCATGATTCCCGACAACCTCTCTCGAATCACTCGTAAAAGTCCCTCCAGGTCTCCCTATCCGCTCCTTCTCCACCCTCATCCGTTTCCCAGACTCCGATAGCTCGATATCTTCTTGATTTGGGCCAAACAACAGACCTCTCATGGGCCTGACAGGGCTATTCTTCTTTTTTTGACGGGTCATCTTACTGGGCCTACTATTGCCATCTTTTTTATCCTTAGGTCCATCCTGGAATAGTAGTTGATTGTTTCCTTCCTTCCCGCCAACCAGACCTTTCCTTAATTGATCCCCATTCTTGCCTTTCCCCTTGTCCTGAGGGATATTCGTTGAATCCCGATTCTCCTTTCCTGAGATTCTCCCCTCTTGCACATCTAGCAACTCGATATCTTTCTCAAGATCCGCGAACCGATTTGATATCGTAATATTCTCCAAGTCCCGCTGAATCGGGCTTGTAGATTCCTTCCCAAATCACCCCCGGCCATGCCCGACGCTCCTGCTCCGGAACCTGACGACGGTGTTGTGGTTCTACCTCTCGATCTTCTCACCTGAGTAAAACCTTCCTCCACCTGAGTAGGTCTTGTCGGGCTCACAGATTCCCTTTGCGTGCGTATGCCTATTGTCTTTTTTGGTGTTAACTTTGGACATGAATGAACTAGATGACCATACATCCCGCAGTTAGAACATATGCTCGTAAGACCCTCGTATGAGACGAAATATCTATCCCCATTAATCAGTATTGTTCCTTTCAGTGGCTTCGATAAGTTCACCTCAACACACACTCTCGCGAACCTAGCCCTCTCTAGGCTTTGTGTCATCTGATCAACCTTGATTGGCTTCCCCAAACCCCGCGCAATCCCCATCAATATGGACTTATGATAGTAATTCACCGGTAAGTTCGATAACCGCACCCAAACCGGTGTAGTAGTGATATCGTCACTCAACGGATCAAAACCTGGACACCATGCCTGTGCCATAAGATAGCTACCAAAAGCTCTCCATGGATCACCTGTTAACGCCTTCATATAGTCCTCCTCTCCTTCAAACCGGATCATGAAGAACTGACGGGGAAGATCCACGACATACATGGCTTGACTCGGTTTCCATAGGTCTCTAAGCTTCCTGCTCAAGGCAGGTATCTCAACACTCCGACCCAGGACTTTGACAATCATGCATCTCTTCCATAAGCCGTTCATCGCTTCCAACACTTCCTGTTCAATGGTAATCTCCGGCTCACCATCCTCTCCTTGAGAGAATTCCACACGTAACCTTGATGTAACAAAACCATCGTCTAAAACATCCTCCGGGGTTAACATGCCCCTGGTGCTCCTCCCTGTCACCTTACTCACCCATGAAACTGCTATATCAGGCGGATCTCCCGGTGACCTTACCTTCTCCCCAATATCTGTCATGGTCGCATCTTGGTCGCCGTTTCTCAAAACCCTAATATCGCTCATTTTCCCCCCGCAAATTTTATCACAACACATGCCCAGTAATAAGTTAAACATCTAATAACACAAAAAAATTAATTTAAATTTAACTATAACAAATAAAAATGTCAAACTTATATATAAGCAATACTAATAAATAACACAAATTTAAGAATAAAAGAATCAATTTTTTTGTTAACAATTTCAGGTAAATTGTTTTTATAAAAATAAATAAAAACACAGACTTTAAATGAAGTTTACTAAGTAGACATTTTGAGGAAATCTGCTACTAATAAATGTTAATTTTTATTTTTGGACAACATATTATAATTATCTTTTTATGTTTTTTATTTTTTATATTGAATGTCAATATTAATTTTTATTGTCTCATGTCTTTTTAATTACCAATTCCCATCACACATTCATAAATTTCTGTTTTGAATCTTGAAATATTCAATGCTAATGTATATAATTTTTTTTTTATTTTTTTTTCTGACAACATATTGTAATTGTCTTTTTCTTTTTTTATATTGAATGTTAATGTTATTTTATGTTTTATAAGAATTTAAATAAAAAATAATTAATAATGTAGTTGCTGAGGTGGAAGCACGAAAAGATAAAAGCTTACTTTATATATATAGATAATGTTTTAGTTTTTCTCTTTATTTTTAAGAGTATGATGTTTTAGATTTTAAATAATATATTTAATTTTACAAAAATATTTATATTAATTAGAACGAAATAATATGAGAATAGAAAACAAAAAAAAGTAAATTAAAAAGTAAAACAGAAACAATTGTAAAAGTATATTTTAATATTTGTGAAATAGCTAAAACATCATATAATTAAAAGTGGTCTAACTTCAATTGATTAAGTCGATTGATTAATCCTGTAGACAAAAATCGAACCTTTTAGTAATTATAACAAATGCTTGGAGGAAAGGGAAATACATTTTCTAAACTCTTAAAGCAAGAGAGAGGCTCACACTTTACTTCTCAGAACTAAGATTTAAAAACATGGTTTTTTTTCTATTAGCTGGTACAAGGACAATGCACAAACTTGTTTTAGCTGCACATGCTCTCCGAAATGGTACAACCGTTATGGATGCTATATATGTTGGGGAATGCCAAGATTCGAGTAGCTTTGATCAGAAGCTGGTGCAGGGGAAGATCATTCTCGGTAACCATCAAACAAGCCTTAGCAACAGTTAATAACTTTTTTTTTTATAAAATATAAAATTTTATACCATTTTAGAAGTTTGTGACAGAATACAAAAATAACTAAGAAAATCAGAAAAATCAAAATCTAAATACAAAGGCATAGATACAAACAGAAATCAAAAGAAAACATAAACGATAAGCTAGACCTTCATGATAACAGCCAATAGAAATCCATAGACAAAACACTAATTCCAAAAACCTACATGGAAAATTTATGAGTCTTTATTGTTGTTGCCACGAGCAACCGTACACGAGGCAAACCCTCAAAACCTCGCTGGAAACAGCACCTACAGCTTCTCCGAGGACAAACAAAAAAACGAAAACGCTTCAACCCAGCTAACCACTATTCGGCAGCACGGGAGTCTCCGGGTCTGCTAGAAAAACCGCCTCTAGCCACCATTCCCTAGCTTAAGAAAGCTGCGAGAATCACCTCCCACGGATAGAAATTAGTCGCCAAGCAAAACCCACCGCCTTGATTCGAAAACAAGACACCACTAAAGCTAACAAAGAGGCCATCACCCACCGAAAATGAAATCCTTCAACCCCTGCCAAATCCAAAACCCGAAACAAAACGAAGAGGCAACAACTAAGAACTTAACAGCAGCATGGCTTGTCTTCTACGTGGATTCTTCTACCGCCAGTTTTCAGATGAGTTCAACTCCAATGGATATCCCGGGAATTCTAATCTCCTCTTCACTAGATTCTCAGATATACTCAAGTGTCTTTAAAATGTAAAGTAGTCTACTATGAACAAAAATGTAACTTTATTACTATTTTTTATGGTTTATGTGCAAGGTTTTACTCTGGTACTACAATATTTCTATGTTTAAAATAAAGTTATTTCTAGAACATAAATTTTTTATTTTTAAATTCTTTACTGGAGTTCTACTAATGAAAAGAGAAAAAAAAAATCTTTTACCAAAATTTTTAAAATAGAATGATGAAAAATTTATATTAAAAAGTTTAATAAAAACCCCAATTTGGAGTTCTATGTATGGAGATGATCTTATGGAGGAAGTTTTTGCCGTAGTTTTGAAAGAGGACAAAACAGTCTCCACTGAAAATGGGAATCTGTGTCCTGTCTCAGGCAGAACAGTCAAAAGAAGATTTTTGCAGAATACTACTTTAGGACCTATAGCTTCTCGATTCACTATTGAAAAAATATATAATAAAAAAAAAAAAACTGAGTAAAAGAATCCCGAATAGAAAAAAGTGAAAGAGCTATAGAATTTGAGCCTCTCCTGTTTTATTTTATAATTTGGGTGCTCAAAAAAAAGAGAGCTTTAGAATTTGAGCCTCTCCTGTTTTGCATTTCATTTTGTTAGTTGCTATCATAACAAAAAAAAATCAATATTTCCAAAGTATTGGACACGCGACAGTTTAAAAAAAAAACATAAAATGAATATAGCGTTTTGCTGAATTTGTGATTTCATAAACAAAAGAAAATAAATATAAAACATAATCTGACACATCCTAAATACACTACAACAACACCAGAAACTTGTTTTCCGAGAACAGAACAAACGTTAGTTAATTGTTGCTTTAGCCAGACGGGAACACAAAAGCACACTATCAAAAAATAAAACATAATTCAAACTAAAAGAAAAAGCAAACAAAGAATAGTTAAACATATTAATTTATCAGTCATAAAAAGATGGACATGTTAACTGGAAAAACTAAAAAAATAGATAACAAATCAACTACTTAAATACAAAACCTATAATTCTCTTAGTATCTCTGCCTCAAATTCATCTCCTCTGTTCAGAAACAAGATTACAAACTAAAAACACAGAGCAAGGCTTCCACACATATAAACTGAAGAATCTTCTTTGACCAAAAAAAAAAAAACTCAAGAATCTTCAAGCTCATCCGCTATAACAATCTCCCGATTGTGTCTATGGAGTCACTTCATAGCATTTATAGCTTTTCCTCAGAAACAAATAGCTTCATGATACGAAATCTTAATCGATCAGGCGGTTTATACTCAACTGTTAATAGGCTTGTGCAGTTTCATCGAACTCGTGGTGATCGTCTTGATGTCTCTGCTCTCCTGAAACAAAACATAGTTTTCAAAACAAAAAGTCTTTAAAGACAGCCTTTACTCATCTAGGCATTAGAAGAAAAATAAAATTTTCGAAAGAAAGCTAACAGTTACATCTAAAATTAAAAAAATAATCTGTTTCAAAGCATGTTAAAATACCAACTCTTTACATACAACGAACAGTAAATGAAAGAAACAAGAATTATGCATATATGTTGGGCAAAAAAAACAAGAAATGCGTGACTAAAACACTACATAAGCCACTTTCAACGCAGATTTCTCTAAAATTTGGTCTTTAAGAGCAAACCAATTGAAAAATAAGTTTACAAAATTGAAACCTGAGAAAAAGATATGTACCTGTTATGAATAGGATCAGGTCCATTGGGAACTTTTCGCTTGCTAACGTAAAATGGATTCACATTTCTGTAAATTTGATGTGTGTTTTTACCGGGAAACCGCAAAATCTTGACCTTTTCAGTTGATAAAACCCTTGATGCAGAGTACGGTAAGATAACTAAAAGAAGAAACAAAATCACACCCAAGGACACAAGAGCTCTTACTATTCCCATTCTTCTTTCTGCGATTGTTTGCCCAACAAGTTACTGTTGAACGTAACAACCAAACCAAAGACACAAACAGAGCAGAAGATACATGGTGATTTCTGAAGTCTCTGTCACATATGTAGAGAGAAAGAGAGAGGGCGAGAGAGAGTTCTTTGGTAAAGAACAAGCTCCTAGGTCATGTTTCTATATACTTTGGGAAAGCAAATCTGTGATTGGTTTTATTTAAAGACGAAGCACACAAAGCAAAAGCCTTGTCTGTTTGTCTTAATATATGTACACGCAGACAATGAGAGTAAGAGCTTTATGTGACATATAGGACCCATCAAGAAACTTTTTACTTTGTGTTGATTTGTGAATTTTCGTGCAGACAAGTAATTAGAGATTTCACAAGCTCCCTTCTAAATGTACAACTTAAGCCAACTTTAGAGGCATAGGACAATATAACCTTTATGTGGCTGAATATAATTATAGTAACAAGGCTATTGCTTTGTTTAGCACTCTCTTTGGAGGTTTACTTTAGAATAATTAAAAGAGAAATCAATTCATAAAATAAATCTGTCAAAAGAACCAATCGGAAATAGAGGAGCTACAACATTTTTCTTCTTTGGTAAGTAACTCTGTCTTGCTTAAATAAAAAAAATACCAATAAACAACACAGCAAAGCATACGTATACGTATAGGATTGTTTTCTTCAAACTCTTTATGACTCATTCTCATTTAAGTTTTTCTGTGTTTATGTGTTAGTTACCTAATAAAATTTGCATCATGCTATTTAACTAATATCACTTTGAAAACGTTAACTCACCAAAGACAAAACAAAAATCTACCTAGACACGTTTTAATTTTACTTATTGTCGCCAAAAGACTTCTTGATATAGGGACCAAACTGTTTCAGCATTCGTTACCTTAACAATCTTTGATTATTAACTAGGTTTTTAACTTGCGAGTTTTTTTTTTTTGGCTAATATCTTTTAAGTTATCAAAACTATAATATATTTATAGAAATTTTATTTTATATAAAAAATTAAAACATAATACGTAGTTTTACCTATTTTTATTATAAATTATAAATCTTATTAAGTAAAATCATAGTAATAACATCTAACGAATTATCCAACTTCGACGTGCATACGTTTGATTTAGAGAATAATTTCCTTACTTATTTTTTGGTTTTGTGTCCTTAGAATTTCTGTAGTTATTCTTTTTTAAAGTTTATATGTTCAAATATTTAGTTTTTGATTAAATATCTCACTGATGTTGTGTACCTGTATATATAATATATGATTTATGTTGATTCGAATTTACTTTTGTTAAAATGCTACAATAATCATCTAAAGCTGCTTCTTGCTTCTCTACTAGATCTTCTATAAATTTTAGGTTATATCTCTATTCACTTTATAAGATCTATTTTATTTGCAGTCAACTATTTGATAGTCTTTGTTTTTAAACATGTAAGATGGTGTGGAGTCTTCATATTATCACTGTTTTTATCTTTTATGTGATTTATTCATGTTTTGATTTGAATAGTTTATATAGATATATTCCAATTTGAATTTGATTCATAACTTTATCATACTTTATTATTTAAAGGAAATTTTAGAAGATGTTACTCATGTTCTATTCATGTTGGCTAAGTTATAAGTAATAACTATGTACAAAAGTTGCTATATTTCGAATGTAAAATTGCTTGTGTAGTATTTTTTGTTAGTTTTTAAACCAGGCGCAGCCAATGTATTAGTCATTATAAATTTATATAATATGTTTGATTTAGAAACTTGTATAACCTACTGTAACATTATACGGTTACTCATAGTTAATACCAATATTTTAGAAATCATTAATTTTCTAAAACTAAATTTCAAACTAATTTTCTTCTTAGATTTTTTTTTGTTATTTTACATAGCTTTCGATGGTAATTTTATATTTTATTCTAATTTATCTAGTTTTGTGCATGTTTATTGTATTTATAACATGTATATTTTTTTAATTTATCTCTTTTGTTATTAATTTTCCAAATAGGTAGCAATAGCATATATCAAATTAATCTCTTTTACATAAATGTTTTTTTTACATTAGTTTGTTTTAATTATAATGCTATTTTGACATGCTATAACTGAGTATTCTAAATTTTATGTGAACTTCTCTCAAAAGCTTATACTATCATTTGTTTTTTTAGTTAAACTTTTTATGTTGATTTTTCAAACTATTAGCCTAAATATCAAGCTAGGTTTTCTTAAGACAACTTTTTCCTTTGAAAATTTACCTCTCTTGATATTTATTTCTATTTTATTTTAACATATAATTGTTATGAAATAATATTTTTGAAGAAATAACTTCATTTTTCATTTTTTAGTTAAATATTTTAATATTAATTTTCAAGTAATTAGTCAGATATCAAGTCAATTTCTTTTTAGGTAATTTTTTAAATTTAATATTTCGTAAAATTTAATTTTCATTTTATTTTTCTTTGTTAATTATTTTTTTTGTATTGATTTCTAAAATAATTCGCTTAAATATTTATCTTCTTTTTGTTAGTAAAGTTTTTAAGTATTACTTAAGTTTTTTTTTTCTTACTTATTTTGTTTATATTGATTTTATTAAATAAAAATAGCATAAATATCAAGTTAATATCCTCTTTTTGTTAATTAACCTTTTCATTATGAATTTTCATTTTAATTGTATTGACATGTTGCAAAAAATATTTTACGTTTGTTTTTTTGTTAGTTAAACTTTTTGGTTAGTTTAGCTTTTTGAGTTGATTTTACAAATAATTAGGCTAAATATCAAGTTTTAGATGACTTTTTCTTTTGTTAGTTTAACATGAATGTTTTTTGGTAGTATTGATAGTTTTAAATAACAATTTTATATGGTTATATAAAAACTTTAATCTTAATATTTTTTTTCTAAATAAATTACTCATTTAAATTATATATGTTAATTTTTTTATTTAAACTTTTTTGTTATTGATTTACATATTTGGTTTTGTTAGTTTAGCTTTTGTGACAATAAGTTTCCAATTTATTTTGACAAACGTTATAGATTTGGATTTTTGACATAATTTTATTTTATCTGTTTTGTTAATTAAACTTTTGTATCTTTATTTTCTGTTCAACTATGATAATTTTATATTTTTGCATGTTTTAATTTATTTAATAATTAATCATATTTAATATTTTTATGTTTAATGAAAACTGCTGATGTGCAGATGTGGACCAATCAGATTGAGTTTCTACGTCATATGTGGACGCTCTCATTGGCCCAAGATATCAACACGGACTACAACTAATATAGTTTAGGTTAGCAGTTCAGATTTTAATTGCTTGTTATAATTAAAATTTTAAAATAGTTTAATTAAGGTCTTAAATACGGTTTTTAAATATTCTTTTAATATCTATGATTTTCTTGAATAATATATTTATATGCTAATTTTTTGTTTGTTAAAGATATTTATATGTTAATTTATTTTTTATTGTTAATAGAAAAATATGATCTACTTTATACACTCTATTTTATTAATAATAACTTAAAATTTAGAAACTTTTTGAATAACTTCTAAATTTTTTGATAAATATTAATAGAAGCAAGTTTAAAAAGTATGGAAATTAGATACTGTTTTTCTATTAACAATAAAAAGATATCATATTATTAGATTATAAAAAATCAAATAAATTATAAAAAATTATTTGTCCAGATCATTTTTTCCGTAATTAATTATAATTTTTAATTGTTTATCATGATTAAAATTTTGAAATATTTTAATTTTAGTCTTAAATACGATTTTTAATTATTTTGTTCAATATATATGGTTTTCTTTAATAATCTATTTATATGTTAATTTGTTGTTTGTTAAAGATATTTATATGTTAATTTACATTTTATTGTTAATAGAAAAATAAAATCTACTTTATCAACTCTTTCTTATTAATAACTCACTTAAATTTTCTAAACTGTTCTATAACAACAAAAATGAAATTAATTAAAATTTAAAAAAAATTCTTATAACAATAAAAATAAATTAATTAATTTTAATATATAATATATAATTAACTATAGATAATGATGATATGTATCAATAAAATTGAATCTTTTAAATCCTATGTGGACACCCTTAAAGGTATTTAGCATCAATTTTTATTAGTAATAGATATAATTTTTGCATATTCATAACTGTGTTAGCGTGTTGGTGAAGTTAGAAAAGGGTAATAATGTTAATAAATTGTTCAAAACAAAAATTCTTACTTCACCACACCAAATAAAATTAGTGTCTTTTTATTATGGAGTTTGTAATTGTTAAGTTTTTTTTCCAAAAATGTAGAAAACAGTAGTCCAAACATAAGTTTCAAAAAAAAAAATCCGAAGATTTCAAATTACAACTAAACATAAATCTCAACCAAAAACAAAATTAGAGTGAGGGGGTGTGCGTGAGGTCCATGAATAACCCATTAAACTGATAATTAACATGGGCAGACTTTTTATTGTATGCTAGGCCCAATAACAAATTAAGGAAGGTTTCGTGTAGCCCACGTGATGACTTTTCTCGTACGTGCAAAAACCCTTATGTCGCCTTAAATAGCGAAATTTCACGAAAACCCTAATCGCAGTCGATTTTCTTCTTTCAGTTTTTGGCAGACAAAAAAAAAAGAGAGAGAGCGATGAAGGTTGTTGCGGCGTACCTCCTTGCGAAACTCGGCGGCAATGAGAATCCAACCGTCGTTGATCTGAAGAAGATCTTGGAATCTGTTGGTGCAGAGATCGACCAAGAGAAGATAGATCTGTTTTTCTCTCTGATTAAAGATCACGATGTGACTGAGCTAATCGCGGTTGGTCGAGAGAAGATGGCTGCTCTATCTTCAGGTGGTCCTGCAGTTGCGGTTGCTGCCGGAGGAGGCGGTGGCGCTGCTCCTGCTCCTGAGCCTGCGGCGGCTGAGACTAAGAAGAAGGAAGAGGAGAAAGAGGAATCAGAAGACGACGGTGGAATGATGAGTCTCTTCGATTGATCTAATGGTAGATTGTTTCGATCTGCGCACTATTTTCTCGTTTTTGTTATGTCTGTTTCTCAATTAATTAGGGTTTCTGGATTTGTGTGGTTCCATGGATTATTATCGGTCTTGGTAATTTTTCTAGAGGTTTTGCAAGTGTTAAAGACTTGAGTTTGGTGAGAATAAATGTTTTTGGTTTCTGATTTTCATCAGTCAGATTTGTTCTTTTGAGCATTCATGCTTTTTTACATTGAATGGCATATTTCAATGAATTATGTTGTGATCATGCATGCGTTTTACTACAGATCGTATGCAGTGACATATTATTCTAATATGCGATGGAATGTTGCTAGTGTTCAAGTCTTTTTAGCCATATTTGTTTATGCAGTTCTTCAATCAAATGTATTCCCTTCAGCATTCATATGTTTTACTTGAATCCCGTGCAGTGAATGGCATATTCTACATATATGTGATTGGATTTGAATTGAATATTGACGTTTACTATTGATTATTTAGGGATTTTGCTAGTGTTCCAAGACTTTAACCTTATGCAAATAAACGTATTTTGTTTATGACGTTCTTCAATCTAGTGGATGACATTCATATGTTTGACTTATGCAGTGAATGTATTTTTTCCAAAATGTTATTGAATTTTGTAATGAATAATGACATTTACTATGGGTTATCTACAGATTTTGCCGCTGTTGAAATCCTATGCTTTTTAGTTTTCTTTACTAGAAATCGTATATAGTGAATTACATATTCTTCAAATCGGCTGTGGTATTTGTATTGGATTATTTAGTGATTTTGCCACTATTCGAGACTCTTAAGTTTAACCATCTTTTGTTTCTGAACTATGATCTTCTTCCTAAAGAATACTCATCCCTTTAACTAGTAATCGTATACGTGATCGTGCGTAACATTCTACAAACCTACGATCGAATTTTGTATTGAGTAAATGACTTTTTCCATGAATTATCGTTTGTCAGTACTTTTAAACGCATTAGTTTTATGCGAATAAACCTTGTTTGTTTGTGATGTCTTCTCAATCGGAAAATCCAACTTATTCTTTTGAATATCATTTCCTTTTGGACTTCAAATCATATAACGTGAATTGCCTTTTCTTTGTATATAAATTTGCATTTTGAGTTATTCTTTTAGATATATGAATTGTGCATATCTAAAGTAAAAGCTTTTTCTTTCACCAATAGCATAAAGATGATGCAGGTCATTTTCTTTATATGTGCTGTCTCCTTTCAGATTTTCTTTTCAGAAATTTTACATTCTCTGGGATAAAGGATTATAGCATATTCAGAGAATAACTGTTACAAAAAGTCGATTTTTGTGTGCAAAAAGAATCATTCATGCAAAAAGCGTTTTTGTTTTGTCTTTATAAGAAAGCTCAAAAGCCAAAAACTTGATGTGGGGACTGAACATAAATATCATCTGTATGATAAAAGTTTGCATTTTTTAAATTTCACTTTTCTCGATTACACCACGAAAATGAATCTTTTTTTGTTCATACTTCTTGCAACAAAAGACTAAAAAGATTATGCTTTTTTCCTAAAACATTTCCCAAATTTTTGTGTTTACTTTTCTCCAATGCTTGAACTTTTATGAACATAATCCATTAAAATAAACCAAACCATAACCTAACCGCAAATGCAAAACTGTTTCTTAATACAAGAGGCGAAAAACCAAAACAACGCTAAAAGCGGAAAAAAGGAAAAATTCATAGAGATGATGAATAATAATACATTATACTAAACAGTTTCATCAGAAGAATTCAAAGTCTAAATAAGGACCTGATGAAGAATCTGATTGTTTTGAATGCTTGTCTTGTTGTTGTTGTTGAACTGATGACTTGAGGGTTTCGTTTAGTATCGAAAGATCGATAGGTTTCGGTATCTCTGGTGGGTTTGTGCTTCTGATTAGAGCCCAATTCACATTATCAAAGAAAGGATGTTGCTTTATCTCTGTAGCACCTTTCTTGAACCCTAATCTCTTCTTAGGATCTTTAGCAAGCAAACCTCGAATCAAATCTTTAGCTGCAAAGCTTATAGACCCTTCAGGAAACTTTAGCGGTTGACCAACAACGTTGAATAGCGTCTCGCGGTTACCGTTTCCTTTAAACGGCGTTTTCCCTGTTAACAGCTCGTAGAGGAATATACCAAAAGTCCACCAATCAACAGAGCTTCCATGGCCATCTCCTCTTATGATCTCAGGAGCTAAGTACTCGTGCGTGCCCACGAATGACATAGACCGAGCATCCGTTGGCTCCGCTATTAGCATCGGGAGCGAATCCGAACCGGATTTTTCGGTTTTCGTCTTTCTTGGTTTGTTGTTGAGGAAACGAGGCTTGAAGCAAGATGGTTGGATACATGCAACAGGTAATTTGCAGGATGAATCTACTATGCAAGAAGGTTGAATACAGTAGGAGGTAATGTGACAAGAAGGCTGTGAAGTGGACTGAATCAGCGTAGGGCTCACGAAACTCTGCAAGGAAAGATCGAAATCCGAAAGCATGATGTGACCATCTTCTCTCACCATTACGTTCTCTGGCTTCAAGTCTCTGTACACTACGCCCATCATATGAAGATACTCGAGCGCAAGAAGTACTTCAGAAGCATAAAACCTGAAAAATTCAACAACAGACAGAACAGAGGATCCGTTAGAATGTGAAAATACTTTCAGATTCTTAAAAGCTACACAGAAACAGTCAAATCAATTCGGTGTTCACTAATAGCCAAACTCAAAACCTTGGCACAAAAAGACAAAACAGAGGATCCATTGAAATGTTTTCAGAATCTTAAAACTACACGGAACAATCAAAGCAATTTGATTTCACTCTCAGACAAATCCCAAAAAACACTGCCATGAAAAGACAAAACAGGGGATCCATTATAATGTCAAAGTTTCAATTTTTTTCTTCAGATTCGTAAAGGTACTTATTCAATTTGAGATTTTATTTCACTTTCAGATAAACCCAAAACATGAAATTGAGAAGAAGAAGAAGAAGAAGAAGCTCTAAATCGAACTAACCTGGCGGCTTGCTCGGAGAAGTGTTTTCCGGGCTGTTTCTGCCGGAGAATATGAAGATCTCCGCCGCTGCAAAACTCCATAAGAAGACAAGAAAACTTCTCAGTCTCGAAATGCGAGTAGAGCGTGGGCAAGAAAGGATGATCTAGCAAACCAAGAATCTCTCTTTCGGTCTGAGCCCTAACCAATTTCTTCCTCCCAATCAGCATTCCTTTATCCATCACTTTCATGGCGAAGAAACATCCCATCTCTCTAAGCTCAGCTAAATACACACTCCCAATATCTCCACATCCCAACTTCTTCAACAGCCTAAAATGCCCTAAACCCAGATCCTCGTTTCTACTGCATTTCACGCTCTGAATCGCGTCCCATCGAAGATCGTTCCCTTTATGCGGCTTCGATGGAGAAAAGACCCTTTTGAAATTAGCCTCGTTCGCATCGAAAGATCGAGACTTTTCTAGATTAGCTTCGCTGCTTACACTGTTACTGCTACAGAAACTTAAGCTGACACTGTTGTTGAGCCTAATGTCTTGAGAACCATTACTGCTGGTTTTGAAGCTCTCGGATCCAGAAGCTGGACATGAATCAGCATTATTGCAATTGGAGGAACAGTCATTTGAAGATTCGAGATTTGTAGTTTGTCTAATCATAACTGGAGAACAAGATCAATAAATGAGAAGTGAAGTAGGGAAGTGAGAAGTGAGAAGTGAGAAGTGAGAAGTGAGAAGAAAGATGTTTCCTTTTAAGAATCTATGATTTTGTGTTGTGTTGTTGATGGTCAAGGTTCTGTGATGTGACTCGAGGTGGTCAAAGAGAGAGAAAGAGAGGATTTTGAAAGCATTGAGATTGTTGAAGAAAAAATGTGTTTAATTTATTTTATCAAAGAGGGATTTTCAAATTTTGAAACAGTGGTTTGATAAACTGTGTGTTGAGGGTAAAATGGATATTTTTGTTGAATAAACTTATGTGATTAACAACAATTAATTTTGCTGTTAAACCCAATGAAGCCATTAGTGGATAATACTCGTATCGTGTGTCACGGTGAAGATTATAGTATAAAATAAACTAAACAATTGCGTAGGTCTAATTATATGCTTGTTTGTTTCTTATGTGTACTAATTAAATTCTCTTTTGCAGTATTTTCTCTGCTTTTGAAAGTATGATGTTTAAGCTATTTCACACATTAAAATATACTTTTACAATTATTTCTTTTTTACTTTTTAATTTACTTATTTTTGTTTTCTGTTTTCATATTAACACTAGTTTTCTTTTTCTAATTAATATAAATATTTTTGTAAAAATAAATATATTATTTAAAATCTAAAATATCATACCTTTGTAAACAAAGAGAAAAACTACAACACCATACTTTAAAAAAACAGAAAAAATAATACTTAAGTAAGATTTGTGGTGCATATTAAAATTTGGGAAAATATTCCAAACATAAGCTTTAATCTATTTTCTATATAGAACATATTTTCTGGATTTGATTGGTAAGTACTGTAAAATCTGTATACAGTTATAAATTTTTTAAAGTATTAAATTTTTCTCAATCATGCTTTACACAGATTTTTTAAAGCTATCTATTTTAAAAAAAAAAAATTTGGTTGTACAAAATAAAATATGTAAAGCACAAAAATTTTCTTTTTGAAAAACTAAAAATTTTACAGTACTAAAATCTACAGAATAGTAAAAAATTTGCAATTTTATTTTTACAGTAAAAAATTAAAGCTATAACAATAACCAATTAAGGTCTCTGTAGTCATATTCTGGAAGATAATGAGTAATTCAAAAATTTAATAAAAAATAGAGAAATTACAAAATACTCCTTTCATTCTTAAATATATGATGTTTTAGATATTTTCTTTATTCCACAAAGATTGATATTTTAGAGTATTAAATGTTTATTTTTGTAGATTTCAAGAAAAGTAACTCAAATTATTTAAATTTTTAAATTACCATTGATTAAAAGTTATTAAAAATAATAATTATAATAAAGTAATGTATTAATAATTAAAAATAACTTTTTTTAATTTGTGTAAATAAACCAAAACATCATACTTTTTGAAATAGAGGGAATATAAATACTAAAAATTTAAACGTTGAAAAACGACCCTGTAAGTTATGATTAAGCTATTGCCAAAAAAAAAAGTTAGATTAAAAGTTTGACAAAAACAGCTGAAACATGAGACACAAAGTGATGCAGTCAATTGGTGAAGAAAGATAATAATGAATTTAAATTTGATTAAATAAAAAAGTGAAGAAAAGAGGAGAGAGAGGGTGAAGTTCACGAGGAGAAAACAGAAGTAGTTTTAGATTTCCTATAACATTAACCCTATTTAAAAACACAATTACCAATACCATTTTGGGACTCTATTTTGTAGAGAGTTTCAACGTTTGTTTATGACGTCTCTATTTTTCTTGTAAAAAAGGCAAATAAAAATAAACATAAATACCTGATGATTATCTCATTTGAGAAATTGATTTAGACGTTATATTTGTAGACTTGCAGCACAAATATTTGATAAAGTCTGGATCAGTTCCGACGGTTTACATGGCGAAGAAAGCCACAGTCTTGATCAAATCAAAATTCTGCGTATCTGAAATATTAGAGAAGTTGTGTTTGTCATTTTCTGAAAATTGGGATAATAGTGTATGGTTGGGGCGAACGAATGTTTAAAACACCTGTAACTGTCTCAAAACAAATTATTCAATAAAAATTAAAATAATTTACAAGGCACTAATACAAAAATTCAACCAAAAAAAAATAGTACGAAATAGGCTAATTTATTTATCATCGGGGAAAGAGTAAAAATAAACTAAATTAGAAATGCATAAAAAAAGTATACAAAATCCCCAAGAGTCAAAACACAAGCTGAAATTAAGAAGCATTAACTAAGTAGCAAGACAATTAGACCCACGAAAAATAAACTAATCTATCAACTAACTCCAGTAACAACAACACTATAAGTCTATAAATGTAAAAATGTGTCTCAACTCAAGGCCACTGCCTATGATAAGCACCGTTACAAATTTAGTGATAACATTTGATCATAAATAATTTTATATTTTATGCAATATTAGTGGTTAAAGGTTAGTTTTCTTATTGAAGGTTAATTAACATACATGTTCTTCAAAGCTTATTTATTCGAAGATCTTAATTATTCTAAGTTTAATCGTTTTAATTTTTGTCACAAGCATCTGCTGTCGATTTGAACTAACAAAAATCCTCTGCATTACATATCGCATCCTAGTCTTTTTTTTTTGTGCGAATTACATATCGCATCCTAATCATTCTCCTATATTCTCATACAAAAAAGGCAATTAAGTTATATTCTCCACTCTCGTAGGTGGGAACATATTCAGAATGTTATATTCTCCATAAAACTAGTTGGAGAGAGTTGCCTAGTCATTCTCCTATATATTTCATCTCAGAAAGTGGATCGAAGTTGCAATTCGAAGCTGCTATGTAATATTTCTGATCAACGCCATGCATATTCTTTCTTGAAACTATTGTGTGTAGACAAGATCAGCCGACGAAGGACAAGACTACGTATTACACATTTGCCCCAATTATGGACATATTCTCCGAGGGTTGAGACAACCATATAGAGAGGAACAGTTTTGTTTCTGATATATATTTAGAGACCACACATACAAAATCTAACTAGTTTTATTTGTTTAATCTCGGTGATGTATTTGTTTGTGAAGGACCAGGCTTGAGACCCAAGCCCGTATTAAGCCCATATCGGTTTCTTTCTAGTTGTAGGCTTGTAGCAGATAACATAAGAGTTCGAAGGTAGCAGCTTCACTGAATCACTGGACACGTAAAACAACTCGGTGGTGGAGATAGTTTGCATTTATAGCTGGACTGAGTCCGGTTCGAGTCGTTCTCAGTTTAGAGTTAACCACTTGAATTGGTGGTGTGTGTCTTCTTCTAAGTTCGCTACTTGTCTGGTGCCTCTCTTAGATTCTTTATTAGTAGGGCAACGAAGCAAGCTGTTGCCTGTTGGCACGTGGATGCTATTATCAATGTTTGCGGATGAGTCGATGAAGTTGAAAGCGATTTTTCTTTCGTTAAAGTTTTCAGATTTTTCTTTTTTCAACAAATGATTTTTCTTTTCTTCTCGGTGGCTCTACATGTGGCTGATAATTGTACAAACTACTAACAAATAATAATTAAGACAAAATATTGAACTTCGTTAATCCGCACACTCTTGCAAGCTTTAGTATAATTGTGAGATCAATAACTAAGAAAATACCCAAACTAGTGGTGGTGGTCTGGTAGTACAAGAAGATTGTTTTTATTTTTTTTAGTATATTTGGTTCATATCTCTTTTGACACGAAATGTTATCTTTAAAATCGAAATATCTAAATACTGATTTCATGTATTAGGAAAAAAAGATGTACGAAATGATCAGAACTTTCACGATCGTTAAAACTAAAATATCCAAGTTCAAATTAAATGGTGGTCCACGATCTTCAAATTTAAAATATCAAAGAAAATATCCATGTTCAGACTAAAATGATGTGGTCGTCACAAATTAAATGACTACCACTTGCGTACTTTTTTTGTTGAAATATATGTAACCTAGGATTTGGCAAGGATATTTTTCGTTCGATTAGTTCATAGATTATCTTTTTTTTTAAAAAGGATTTTTTCCTTCTGGGTGGTACGATTGTACGAATATGAATTTAGGCTGGGAGTGGGAATTAACTATCTTGTACAAGTAACAGATAATAATCAAGAATAAAAATAATATTAAGAAAAAATCTTGACCTTGCTTTGTTTATCCGCACCCTCTTGCAAATTTGTTCAAATCACTATGTTGCTAGAATTCACTACACTTTTAGATTTTAGTTTGGTGATTGTGAGATCAATAACAAAGAAAATATCCAAGTTCAGATTAAATGCGATGCTAGTCATGACAAATCACTACCACTTGTGAAACCAGTCATTGATCAGGACACTGTTTATGAATTAGTGTACTTGCGTATAAACGATGTACACTAGAAGACAGTGTGAGTCATTGGTCAAATTTGTGGGGTTGTAAACACATGCATGTATTGTACGAGTACGTTGAAAACTGAAAAGTAAATGACTAACCTCACCAGCATTTCAGTATAAATAGAGGCCGATCTTATGCTTATTTCCTCACACTTCACATTAACATATATACATACATACATACATTCAAAAACAAAGGTTAATAGTCATGGCTAAGTTTGCTTCCATCGTCACCCTTCTCTTCGCTGCCCTTGTTCTCTTTGCTTCTTTTGGTAACTCATAATTAATGATTTTATCATATAAGTATATGCATAGCAAGATGAATTTTAAATGTTCCTTTTTCTCTGATTATTTAATAATTAACATTGAGATATATATATGTATATGCAGAAACACCAACGATGGTGGAAGCACAGAAATTATGTGAGAGGTCAAGTGGGACATGGTCAGGAGTTTGTGGAAACAACAACGCGTGCAAGAATCAGTGCATTAACCTTGAGAAAGCACGACATGGATCTTGCAACTATGTCTTCCCAGCTCACAAGTGCATCTGCTACTTTCCATGTTAATCTACTCAAAATACTCTTGTGTGGGTAATATATATAGTGTGTGTGTATATTTTACAAAAAATAAGTCTGTGTTCACTATCCCTGCGTGACTTTATGACATGTATCAAATATGTTTATGTTTGTTTGATTGTAATATAAGGTTTTATATACCAAAAATTAAAATCAAATGTCAATATAAAGAGATGTGCATAACATCATGTCCAATTGAATAAAACAAATGACTTACTTTGCTAATTCAATTTTTTTTTTTCAAAAGTGGTGGCGTATTCAGTGTGAATATTGGTTTTACGATTGCAAGTACGTGGGTTGGTTCTCTTGTAGTGGTGGCCTAAGGGGGTTGGTTTTGCCCCAAGTTCAAATACTCTTTGAAACGAAGGTATATTCTTTAAATCGGAATATAAAAATGGTTAATTCCAAGTATGACGGGCCTTCAAGTATTTTAGATAATAAAAAATGCCAAAAATGTATATACGGTAAGATATATCTGGTTTTCTATTTGCATGCATCATGCATGTATTGTACGACTACGTTGAAAAGTAAATGACTACACACAGAAAAGTAGAAGTCCATTGCTTGAAGCCTTTTTAGCCAAACTATATGAGTGAGAACGAAGACCTTCGCAATTAATCGGCACTTTCCAGAAATCAAGCAACCCACAATTGTTGGAAGCCAGAAACGATGTAGTTTGTATTTTAGGCCCGAATATATAACGTAAAGATTGGAAGATTTGGAAGGTATTTATACTTTCGAAAGGAAGATGAATAGGGTAGTATAATTGAAGAAGCGTAGACGACTAATAATTATTTGAGTCTCAAATGGCGAAAAGATCAAATAAAACTTTAGTTGGATCGTGGAGAGAAACAAAATTTAGTTGATATGCATATAAAAGAAAATTAATAGCTCCAAAGTCGAAACATTAACATTCTGATTAAAAAAAGGTGGTTGATATATCAGTATCGGTTATGATGTTTAATAAAGTGGTTAAAAAGTATTAGATTTTGATTAGTATATTGGTTTTACACTGATGTTATTACCATATCACTATTTATATTCATTTTCTTTCTAATTGACTATATAATATTCAAATATATATTAATAAAAACAAAACCAATACAAGCATAAACAGGAGGTGCTTATGTTGGTTGTAGATTTCATAGTTTTTAGTTTCTTTCCCTAAGAATCCAAGTACTGAAAATCCTTTAACAAAAAAAAAAGAATCCAAGTACCCAATTTCATCGTTCCATTGATTTTCTTAAAAGGAAAACCTGATTGTCAAAAGTTCTTTAGTACCATCGGAAGCCACATCAACTCTCTTGTCTTAAAAGATCAACATTATCTCTACCCATAATCCAATCTTAAAGCATAATTTAAGATCGACAACAACATACATTGCATTTGAAAAAATCACATATCTTGTAACTTATATATACTCCAAATTATATGATTTAATATGAAACGATCACGTTCCAACCAAAGTTCCAATGAGATTCCCTTTTAGCTCCCAGCTTATACAACTTTACATTATATGGAGTTGTGTAGTATATGGTAATTCTTTTTCCTTTTTAAAATTAAAAATTTGGTTTGATCTTATCATGACTGATGATCAATGCTATGTACAGGTAAAGTAACATGTCATGTAGTAACATTTTATGTGCAAAATAAATGCTCATTTCCCATTTGGCCGGCTGTTGCCCCCAACTCCGGCCAGCCGGTGCTAGCTTCTGGTGGATTTTACCTGCCATGCGGAGATACTAGACGCATTGATGTTCCTTGGGGTTGGAATGGTCGTATTTGGGCCAGAACAGGCTGTGATTTCACTTCAAATTGGAATCAAGCTTGTGAAACAGGTAATTTTACTTCTAATTTCCGAATGCAACAATCCTTTCATAGAATAGAATATTTGAGAACATTTTAGAGATATATTTATAAACGATTTTATGGGATACGAAGCGTAACAACAACATTATTTTTCATTACAAATTTTCCAAAATACTATTCTCATGTAATCCCAATATTATATGCTTATATGATAAGAAGAGGGTAATTATACATTTTTAAAAACATAAGGTGAGTGTTAATGTTTTTGTTGGATTATAATGAATTTAAGGTGATTGTGATGGACGTTTGGAGTGTAACGGATTGATTGGAAAACCTCCAGTGACCCTTATACAAATTGCGGTAGAAGCTGACAAATCCAAACCTAATTTCTATGATGTTAGCCTCGTCGACGGTTATAACCTTCCCGTCTCTGTGAATTCCAAACCCGTATCTTCCAAATGCACCATCTTAGGTTGTCATAAAGATCTCAAAACCACATGTCCCGAAGAATTACAGGTAACATTTCTACTTACTTTTGTTTTCAAAACCAGTGTTAGATTCTCAAATCTCAAAAAGATTAAAAGGAATAACATTTCCAAAGTCGATAGATAAGTAGTTCTACTCATTACATCAAAATGATGACCATATTACGTAAATGAGACATTGCTTTTGCTAATTTGAATATACTATTTTTGAATAAATTACAATTTTAATGATATGATTGAACTTGGTATTTATTCTGCTTTGCATACTTACGTACTTTTCGAAAAGAGGGAAAGCTGATATCAAAAGTATACTTTTCCTAGCCCTAGAATCTATCTGTTTTTGTTGTTAAAGAATCTTTCTTTTAAGTTTTGATTCGTTATTTTCACTTTCATCTGTATAGGTTTTGAACAAAGAGGGACGAGTCGTAGCATGCAAGAGTGCATGCTTAGCATTTGATAATGACAGGTTTTGCTGTCGGAATGCGTACGGAACGCCGGAAAAGTGCAAAAGGACTACATACTCTATGTTGTTTAAAGAAGCCTGCCCCAGTTATTACAGTTATGCCTACGACACACCTCCTCCTTTGGTCACTTGCTCAGCCAAAGACTATCTTATCACATTTTGTCCTTCAAATTGGGGTCATACTTCCACGTAAAACAAGCTCCAAAAGAACATTATTGAAATGATACTATCTGCATTCTATCTATCATAAAGTATGATTACGAACTCGTGAACGTATGACTTGTTATCATTCGCGAAGACTTTTGATCGTTGATCGTATTATGTTGGAAATGGTGGTGCAAAAAAGTGAAATAAATTTAATCCCAAAGTAAAGTCAACTAACCTGTACTAAAGTTGAATAAATCGAACCAAAGTACCACCAACCCATGCTAAAATAATATACGCAAATACATTAGTTTCATATTTCAGACCGTTTCAAACTAAATCAAAATGAATTGAAAATATAATATAGTAATCGATCAATATAATTACCTTCTCTGCCATCCGTCCGTGCGTTCTCCCGAGCTTTCGCCTCTGCTGTTGCTCGCCTTACTATCTCATATGGATTCCGATCGATATTCGAAGTTTTTTTTATCATTTCACATTTTCCAAATGTATCATAGTAATCAAGGAAAAACTCTCATATCCTCATGATGTGGCAGATGCCAGAACAAAGTTGCCATATTAGGGTAAAGCGCATCCGTAGGGAACCCATTTGAAGGTGTGAGAATAACCGACAGAGCCTAAACTTGGACGGCCGGGGGCATTCAAAAAGTGTATGATTAATCGTCTCCCGGTCTGCCCCACAACGAATACATTGAGGATCGCAGTTAATACCTCTTGTCCTTAGGCGATCATTAACCGCCAGACATCCCGATATGGCTTACCATAAGAAATGTTTCATCTTTGGTGGACACTTAATTGACCATACTTGTACCTGTAGTTTACTCACATCCGGACCATAAGGTTGTGTGGAGATGGCTAGTTGTGAAACCTGTTGTTCCGTATTGTATCCCGATTTCACCCTGTACCGTCCGGTCTTTGTGAAACTCCAAAGCATAGTATATGGTCTCCTATGCCTAGTGGTAGGCAACGCCGTAATTAACGAAATATCCTCAGCGACCACTAATTGGTGAAGGAGAGGAAAATTTCACGAAGATGTATTATGGTCAATCAGCTGATTGACCATTAATTGAGGGTAAAGATTATAGCATTTACATGTCGCTGATCTTGGGCGTGAGTCGGGAATCCATGGGTCATTCCATACAGAGATAGAATGTCCGGAGCCGACTCTTTTGATAAGTCATTTGTGTACCGAAGATCGAGCAGATATGATACTTCTCCATCCGTATGATGCAGAGTATGATCGTATTGGGTCTAACGGTGAACCATTCCTAAAATAGCGTCATTTGAAAACCTTTGAGAACAGAGATTCCGAATAATACATCAATATCCAAAGTTGTTTTGCAAGAAGGGCCGTATTGAAATCCTCAATTACTCGAAATCCCAATCCCCCTTCCAATTTATGTTTACATAATTTATCCCATGCTAACCAGTGCATTCCGCGAGCCTGACCATCTGTGCTCAACCAAAATTTAGCCACCGTACTTGTCAGTTTTTTTGTTATTGTTTTGGATAATCGAAAACACGACATAGTATATGTCGGGATGGCTGTAGCCACTGACTTGATAAGGACCTCCTTACCCCCTTTCGATAGTAATCTGGATGTCCAACTGTTGACCCGTTTCTGTTGCCTATCCAAGAGAAAGTTAAAAATTTTCGTCTTTGCTCCCCCCCATACTTTCAGGAATTCCCAAATATATACCTATACCTCCCACATTTGTTATCCCCAGTGTATTATGGATCAAGGCTCTTGAATCTGGGGCGACTGTATATCCAAATTGAACCGAGGATTTGTCAAAATTTATATATTTCCCAGAAACTGACTCATATTCCTTTAAAATTTTAAGCAAAGTAGATGCTTCTTCCTCTTTCGCTTTGCAGAAGAAAAGACTATCATCTGCAAAAAGCATATGAGAAACCGTTGGGCTAGCCCGGGCAATCCTCATTCCCGTAAGTAGCTTGTTTCGTTCTGCCTTTCTTAAATTCGAGATTAGTACTTCTATGCATAGAATAAATAGGTATGGAGACAATGGGTCGCCTTGTCTTAGTCCTCGACTTGGTTTGATACTCCCCCGTGGATGACCATTTATCAGAACTTTATATTGGACATATTTGATGCACCACATAACCCAGATAATCCATTTATCCGTGAAACCCATCTTTCGGAGTAAGTGTTCTATGAATGACCACTCTACACGATCATATGCTTTGCTCATATCTGTCTTAATGGCCATGAACTCCTTTTTGCACGAGTTGTTTGTTCTCAACCCATAGAACATCTCTTGTACTATTAAAATGTTATCGGAGATAAGTCTTCCCGAGACAAAAGCTGACTGTGTCTCCGATATCAACCTTGGTAGTAGCCGTTTTAAGCGTTGGCATAACACCTTAGAAATAATTTTGTAACCCACATTGCATAGACTAATGGGTCTTAAATCCGGCATTTTAGTAGGTCGTTCTGTTTTTGGGATAAGACAGATATTTGTCAGATTTAGCCGTCTGTCGAAAAACCCTTCTTGGAGAAAATTATTGACCATTATTACCACATCCCCTTTTATTATATTCCAAGACCTTTGGAAAAACAAGGCAGTCATTCCATCTGGTCCTGGGGCCTTTCCTGGATACATCATGAATACTACCTTCTTAACCTCCTCCTCTGTTGCCGGTTTAGTCAAGTCTGCATTTTCTGTTTCTGTTATTACCGGTGTTAATTCCTCTAGGGCATTGTCAAAGTCTGTTGGGCATATTGACGTGAAAAGTTCATCAAAATACCTTACTGCAACCTTTTCGACCATTTTTTCCCCTTCTACCCATACGCCATGTTGATTATGGATACCCACCAGTCTATTAATTGTTCTCCTTTGTTTTGTGGTCGCATGGTAAAACTTTGTATTTAGATCTCCACATCTATTCCATAAATTTCGACTTTTCTGTTGCCAGAATTCTTCTTCATCCTTGTACGCATCTTTAAGTTGTTGTGTGATCTCATTAATTTCCTCCTGGAACCTAGTGTCATCATTATGAAACTCCTCGAGAGATTTCTGAAGCTCCTATATTTTATCCCGCCCATATGGATGGTTAACATGCCGTCATCTCGAAATCTCGTGACGACAGAAAATAATTTTATCGACGAAAGTTGGTGTCGTGTCCGATTGTGCACTATTTCAACCCCGTGTTATTGCCTCCATAAAACCTTGTTGTCGAACCCATCGTTTACCAAAGCGAAACTGTCGGCGTCTTTTGATTCTTTGAGAGCTCATTGTAGCGACAATAGGCCGATGATCGGACCCAATCATTCATAGATATTCGACATACAAAAATGGGAAAAGATCATGCCAATTTTCTGTTGCCAGACCCCGGTCTAGGCTACACCTGACATTTTGACCATTTCTTCTCCCTTTCCATGATAGCGTGTTGCCCCGGTTTGGAAAATCAATTAATCCACAATCGCTAATCATTGTATTAAAACCGAGAAATGAAGATGCTTGCCTAAGAATTCTGCCTTGTTTCTCGTGATTTTCAGTAAGTTCATTGAAATCCCCAATTAAGAACCATGGTCCCGTCCTTGTTGTACTGATCTGGTCAATCTTTCCCATACATGTTCTCTCAACCTTGGAACCGGGTCCCCATATACAAAAGACATAAAAATTTGTTTACCTTCAAATCGAGCCTCAATATCAATAAGTCTTTTATTAGAAAATAATAGATGAACATCATAGGTTTTATTGTAAAACAACGCTAGTCCTCCATTAGCACCACAAGGGTCAACCGTAAACATCGAATCAAACCCAAAATGAAATTTAAATTGTTCCACAAATCCAGAACATTGCTTAGTTTCAGAAAGAAGAGAAAATCTGGCCTAAACTTTTTCCATATCTCTCTGAGATAACTTATTGTGTACCTAGAACACAATCCTTGGCAATTCCAGCTTAAAACCCGCATTAAAAAGAGTCATGATGATCAACTTCCCTGTTGGTACCTTCAAGCTTCCGTAAAGGTCCCATCCCCTTTTCCCCTGCCCTTCTTGTGTCTCGATGTATTCCTTTCTTCCTTGGTGTAACAGCCTGAATCAACTTCCTTGATCCACCACCTACGCCAATAGAGCCTTTGAATAACCGCTTCTTCATTGCAGCTTTCCCAACAGGTTTGGAATCAATCTGGTCTGCCCCCATGACCGTGTCAGTAACCATTGAATTTGCCACGAGCTCGCTATTCTCCTCTGAATTCAGACCAGAGTCCTCCGCGAATGTGTCATAATTAAACTTTGGGGACATCTTTGCCTCATTCTCCCCGTTTTCCTCATCCATCATCTCCCCGTTTGAAATGACCTCATATGTGGCACATGAGCTACACGATTATACGAGTATCTTGACATGCCAGGTGGATGGATCATGGCACCATTCTAGTCTATATTCAGGATTGGGATGGTTTTGTCAAGGAAACGAGGTACTGGGTACTTTAATGGGTACAAAAAATGTTAGACGAAGTATATCGGCCCTTCACTCAGAATTAGAGGCTCTGATCTGGGCAATGCATAGTATGCTTGATGCAAGGAGAATGGAGATGACCTTTCTCACAGACTGTTCCGAACTGGTGAAGATGGTGTCTAACCCAACGGAGTGGCCAGCATATGCAACACACCTGGAGGAGTACGAGTTCAACAGGAAGGAATTTGTTTCTTTCTCGATAGCTCACATTCCACGCGCGCAGAACACGAAGGCAGACAAGCTAGCACGGGGTGCTCGTTCTTACCTTCATAATCTAGATTATGTAAGCTCAATTCCACCGACTTGGCTCGAGTCATTGTAGGAATATGAGGCTGTTGAAAAAAAAATTACCTTCTCTGATCATATATATTCTTAGAAGTTTAGAGTATTGACTAGTCTACAGCATATATTCATTAGGTTCTCTACATCGAAACTAACAAAAGTACAAAATCTTCTCTTTTTTTGTAAGCTTGGAATAATACTCAAAAGACAACAATATTCTCAACTCCTACCTCAACAATAGAGCGGCTCACACACTAGACTTTTCGTGACCTAAAATAAAAGGCAATGACAGGTTCTTCTAGCCCTCTACAGAGCCAAAAGCACCAAAACTCTCGACCAAGTATGAAGGAATTTGATGGGGCTGATGAGATATTGAGACCCACCCAAGGTTGGATTTGAGCTCGAGATGGTGAAGAGGTTATGATTTGTAACCCGTCAACTAGGCATGCTCTACTCCTTCCTAATTAGTCGTACTCTCGGAAAGAAGCTGGGAAAAGTAAAGATGTTTCTTGGGTATGAAGCAACGATTCAGCAGTACACAATGCTTTATATGCAAGACAAGTCACTGGATTTGTTATTATCATGAAGAATCGGTTGTTAGCAAACGACACAAAGTCTTCACTATACCGGGTGAAAACGCTTGGACAGAAGTGGAGTAATAGTACAATCGGCATATCCCTGAAACAAAAGAGGTATGCCTTGAAGGTATTATTATGACCCTCCACCTAAAGACACAACACTACAAGAAAACAGCAAATTAGCGACTGTATATCACGATTGATTGTGTAGTCACAAAATTAATGACTAAATTGCGACTTATTTGCGACCAAATGGTTTTCATCGCAAAACAGTCGCTAATTTGCGACTGATATAGGTAGTCGTATTATAGTAGCTAATTTACAAGTCACAAATTAGGTTTACTTTGTACCCGATCTCAAACCCTAATCAAACTAGATCTCATTTTCCGAAAAGCAGAAAGAAGAAATCTTTCACCCTGTTTGCGATGGCTGGCCGTGGAAGATGTAAGAGAAGAGGAAAGGGTGCAGAAAACGACTCAAATCCAACAACATAAGATTCACATACGCCGAATCGAACAAAACCCATTGGTCTTCCTAGCCAGTATACCTTCACGATGGGGAACCCTCAAGCCAGTGAACTCCTATCCCAATCTTCTAGCCTCCAACGGGTCCTAGTATCAGAGACTATCCACCTCTGACGAATCTTTTCCAGACCATGTTGAGCCATCTTGGAGCCTCTCATGAGCGCCGAACTGGAATAGGTTCTGCAACGGCTCAATCTCGACCTTCTGCATATCAACAACCTCGAGCCTTTGCGACAAATCATCGTGGAGCACCTCTTGAGGGCGAAGATGGAATTGGTTCTCCATTGGATCAATCTCGACTCTCTGTATCTTAGCTATCTCCCCCGCGATGAATCATTAATAAAAGGTTAATTTTTTATATTAATTAATTTTAAAAATAGTCGTTAATTAGTCGTAATATAAATATAAATTTACTATCCTAATGATTCAATTAATTACTAAACGAGTTACTAAATAGTTGTAAAGTAGTCGCAATATTTAGCGACTATCTAGTGACTACATATTTAACAAATAAATTTAATCATCATATAGTCGCATTTTAGTCGCTAAATTTTACGATTAAGCTGCCACTGTTTTTACTCGACACATATGTAAATAGCGACTAATTAGCAACTAATAGAATTAGTGACTAAATATTAGTTACTACTTATTTTAGTTGCTAAGCAGTCCTAAAATTAATTCCGTGGTCACGAAATATATGTTTTTTTGTAGTGAAAGCTAATGTTAGGGAGGGTTTTATCTTTTAAACATCATAAATTTGTCTCTAATACGTGTTTGATAATCTAAATATTAACTATAATTTAAAATCTAAGTTGTTAAACATAAACAATTTTTGTTAATAAAAGGTTACTTTAAGTTATCGTAATTTGAGTTCTAAGAGACAACAAAGTTGTAGTTTGATCCACTTGACTGAGAAAGATTTTTGTTTTATAATTTATTTTTATATGTATTTCTTCATTAAACATGAAAACAACATAGAAAAAAGACTTGGAATCTTTGACAGTTTGCTAATGTACTGCTTTCTGACGAATTTTGCGAACATTTGATAGACTCTGTCGATATTTAACATACATTACAAAAGCAAAGACAAAATAGAAGTAGAAGTGAAAAAGATTTTACGAAGCAGATGAGCAAAATTTGATACCATAAGGTTTACAGTAATAAAAGACGGTAGCACTCGCAGGGGAAGAGAGATAAACAATAAAAAAAAAATCGAAATATCTAAATACTGATTTCATGTACATTAGGAAAAATCATGTACGAAAGGATCAGAACTTTCACGATCGTTAAAACTAAAAATATCCAAGTTCGAATTGTAGGCAGTGTGGTCCACGATCTTCAAAATTAAAATATCAAAGAAAATATCCACGTTCAAATAAAATACGATGTGGTCGTCACAAACTAAATGACTACCACTTGCGTAACCTAGGACTTTTGTTTTGTTGAACATATATATGTAACCTAGGATTTGGCGAGGGTATTTTTCGATTAGTTTTTAGATTTTCTTTTTCAAAAACGGTTTTTTTTCTTCTGGGTGGTACGACCATATATGAATATGAATTTAGTCTGGGAGTGGCCGGACGAAACAATCTTGTACAAGTAACATACTAACAGATAATAATCAAGAATAAAAATAATATTATCTTGAGCTTAATTTGATCATTTTTATTTTTAAGCATGTATGATGGTGTAGAGTCTTCACATTATTTTTCAGTTTTTTTTTTTTTTTCTTTTATGTGTTTTATTCATGTTTAAACTGAATAGTTTATTACTTAATTAGAACTTTAGAAAATGTTACACATATGATGTTCATGTTGGCTTACTTATAAGTAGTAACTATATATAAAAATCAAATTTTACTATTTGTTATATTTTTAATATAAAATTACTTATATAATATTTTTTTTATTAATTTTTAAACGAGACACAACCAAAAATAGTAGTCTCTGATACCATATTAGCTTAACAGAATCCATGAAAGAAGAGATTAAACTGAATTCTATTATCAAACTTCCCAAATCGGATTAGATCTTACATTCGAGGTTATATACAACTGGTCTTTATAAATGATCTATATAACCAGAAGTAAACCCTATACAAGTAAACTGATGTAAATCAAAGTATATACATTTGATATATACCAATTTAATTTCTATGAATGTTTTTTCTTGTTAATTTTTTTTAATATTATTTTTTTAATAATAATGATGATTGACATACTGCAAAATTTAAGACTTATGTTAATAATTTATATTTGGGTTAAACCCTGGGTTAACCCTTAACAGTTAAGCCTTTTATTTATATTGTTTTTTTTTAATTTTCTTACAACCCGTTTATAAATTTAAATTGTTTGTTTGGAATTGAAATTTTTATAAAATTTTAACTATAGTTTTATTTTATTTTATGTTAAATATAATATATAAGTTTAAAAAAAAGTTGTATAGAGCATAAAAATCGCCGGACCACGATCTTCAAAATTAAAATATCAAAGAAAATATCCACGTTCAAATAAGATAGGATGTTGTCGTCACAAACTAAATGACTACCACTTTTATTTTGTTGAACATATATATGTAACCTAGGATTTGGCGAGGCTATTTTTCGATTAGTTTTTAGATTTTCTTTTTCAAAAACGGATTTTTTCTTCTGGGTAGTACGACCATATACGAATATGAATTTAGCCTGGGAGTGGCCGGACGAAACAATTTGTACAAGTAACAGACTGACAGATAATAATCAAGATAAAAATAATATTATCTTGAGCTTACTTTGTTTATCCGCACCCTCTTGCAAATTTTTTTAAATCCACTATGTAGCTAGAATCCACTACACTTGTAGATTTTAGTTTGATGATTGTGAGATCAATAACAAAGAAATTATCCATGTTCAGATTAAATGCGATATGCTATTCGTGACAAATCACTACCACTTGAGAAAGCAGCCATTAATCAGGACACTGTTTTTGAATTAGTCAAGGTCTTATACCTTAAGCCACCTGCGTATTCATGTTGTAACTTGTATGTACACTAGAAGACAGTGTGAGTTAAATTTGTGGGGTTGTTAACACATGCATGTATTACGAGTACGTTGAAAAGTAAATGCTAAACTAACCATCATTTCACTATAAATAGAGCTCGATTTTATGCTTATTTCCTCACACTTCACATTAACATACATACATACATACATTCAAAAACAAAGGTTAATAGTCATGGCTAAGTTTGCTTCCGTCATCACCCTTCTCTTCGCTGCCCTTGTTCTCTTTGCTTCTTTTGGTAACTTATAATGATCTTATCATATAAGTATATGCATAGCAAGATGAGTTTAAATTTTCCGTTTTCTCTGATTATTTAATAATATATTAACATTGATATATATGTATATGCAGAAACACCAACGATGGTGGAAGCACAGAAATTATGTCAGAAGCCAAGTGGGACATGGTCCGGAGTTTGTGGAAACAGCAACGCGTGCAAGAATCAGTGCATCAACCTTGAGGGAGCAAGACATGGATCTTGCAACTATGTCTTCCCATATCACAGGTGCATCTGTTACGTTGCATGTTAATTTACCCAAAATACTCTTTTGTGGGTACTATATACTGTGTGTGTATTTTACATAAAATAAGTCTGTGTTCACTATCCCTGCGTGACTTTATGACATGTATCAGATATGTTTATGTTTGTTTGGTTATAATATAAAGTTTTATATACCACAAATTAAAATCGCATGTCAATATAAAGAGAGGTGCATAACATCATGTCCAATTGAATAATACAAGTGACTTACTTTGGAAAAAAAAGTGGTGGCGTATACAGTATAAATATTGGTTTTTACGATTGGAAGTGGGTTGGTTCTCTTGTGGTGGCCTAAGAGGTTTGGTTTTTTTGTGCCTCGGATTCAAACTATCTTTGACACGGAGATATATTTTTTAAATCGAAATATAAAAAGAGTTAATTCCAAGTACCGTGAAAGATTATGAAACTTAAAGTATTTTAAATAATAAAAAATGCCAAAAATGTATATCTGGTTTTCGATTTGCATGCATGTATTGTACGAGTACGTTGAAAAGTAAATGACTACACACAGAAAAGTAGAAGTCCATTGCTTGAGGCCTTTTGTAGCCAAACCAGTTCTCCACGCACAAACTACCAAAAGTATTGACTGAGCCTCCTTGACAAGAGCTACTGCGTTAAAGTAATTTATTCAGTTAATCTTGGAAACAAAGATGAGGTGCTACATAATCTAATACAGTGGAAAAAATATGAAAAATATACGGTATCTCCGATTTAAATGAGATTGTGAGCGAGAACAAAGACTTTTGCAATTAATCGGCACTTGAAACTCTAGAGTACTTTCCAGAAATGAAGCAACCCACGGTTGTTGGAAGCCAGAAATGATGTAGTTTGTATTTTAGGCCCGACTATAGCGTAAAGACTGATGGGGAAATTGCACAAAACCTCACTAAGGTGCAGCGGAATAAAGTTGTCCTTAATTATGTAATTATGTGAGAAAAATATTTAAAAGGTGGCAGAAAGTTGAAAATAAGTGAAACACTAAATTTTTACGTAAAAGATCTTATTTTGATGCAAAACGAAATAATCACAGGACTGTAGTCCACTCATAATCTTACTGTAACAAATAAATGTGAGTTACAATCACGTCTTCTCTGTTTTTATAGAACAAATCCAGAGACATAAGTTCACAAAGATCGATCTCAACACAAGAAACACAATAATATAGCAATATGAGAGGTTAGAAATAAGCAGATACAAACGATCTTTAGTTCACTAAGATTCCAGCCACTTGAGAAAAATCTTACCGTGTAAATCCAAGATGAACAAATCAAGAACGGTGCTGCCAAATTTCAGCTTAAGAAGAATGTGATAACTCAAATTTGGTTTATAAAAGAATGAGAGTCAATGGGTTTAAAGAGAGATCTTTATTAGATTAAAGTCGGAGCTCGAGAAATACACGGTGGTTTAAGTCGTCGGAATAAGAACGCCGTCATAAATTGTTTAAGGAAATATAATCAAGAGCTACAGACAATTAGATTGCTAGTTTGCCCTAGGTTTCGAGAGAGGGTTTTTTGATGATTTGAGAAGCTGATAGCTTCTTATATCTATACCCGATCAGGTCAATCTTCTGGAGATAACTTCGTGTATACGAAATAGGAAAACTTTCTTGCCGATAAGACCAATCTTCCGACTTTTCCGGATTTTGACCGATAAATAGAGAATTTCTATTTGTTTGGCCGACCTGAATATTCTTTGAGTTTCCAAAATGGGCCAGCCTGAGTTTATGTCGAGCTTTTAAAGATAGTATGAATCTCATCTCTAACAGTAAGTCCCCCCCCCCTTCAGCAAGTGAGGGTACGCTACTTGGCGAATTTCAAGAGAAGTAGCTCGGCATGAAATGAGGTCGGCCGCTGCATAAGTTAGAATAATAAACACAACTTTACCTTGAGTTTTGATCGGTGATGAGATGATGGTCAGATCATCAATTGGGCGCGAAAAGTTTCCGCCAAGAGTTCGAGCCAAAAGTAGGCTAGGTCTGCACATGCAAAACTAGGTTTGACACGTGTCAAACGATAGAGGAGGAAAGCGAAGAGGCCGATTTAAAATAAAATAAGAAGAAATGCGAACAGTCGCCAAAATCATGATGACTCTCGATAACCGTCCATATTTCTGTATAAATAAGGGAGGTTCGGCTCATAATTTTTAACTTTTGCATTTAACGAAACTCTGTCAAAAGGTTTGCTCTCTTCTCTCTCTTTTTTGTTCCTGATTTTTTATATTTTTCAATCAAACCTCCGCCATGTTTCGTTCGATCATCGTCGTGTGATTTCTCCGATCTACCTTGAAGCCGCCGTGAAAGTTTGATCAGCTATGAACAAGAGTTAGAAGATTGGGGAAAGGGATAGCCGCAGCTCAATCGTCATCAGATCGGTCCTCTAATGCGAGCTATCTATCTGCGTTAGATCGGGCCTACCAAGAGCAGGTCAGAGAGAAAAATCAGAAGGCAGCAGCTGATAGATTCCACGTCGACCAGGTCGGGGCTGTTCTGCGAACCAGAGAAACGTCTTCAAGAGTGGAATTCGAGATTCCTGAACTGCAGGACGAATCCGACGAAAGAGGGGGATCAAACTAGATGGATATCTCGGACGAGCTGAATACTCTTATCGTAGAGGATGAGGTAAATCAGTTCGGTATCATCGATATGAACCTGCCCGTCGAGAAGAAGAAGAGGAAAAAAGGGGAGCCGATTTTTAAGCCGATCTGCGACAACGCTTTGGGAGTTATGCTGACCAAATCCGATTTGACGTCGCTGGTTTCTTACAAAGAAGAATGTGATATCGGTTTGGAAATAGTTTTCATGGTTCCCAGTCCATCTGAGCGGCCATGGGATGCTCCAAACGGCTGGTTCTACGTCTACGAGTGTTTCTTCAGAGAATTTCACTTATGGTTTCCTCTTCCAAGACTTTTATTGGAGTTTGCTGATCACAAGGAGATGACGATCTCGCAGTTCTCCCATTCAACGATTCGCCTGACCGTGAGTATGCTGGTAATGTCGACCAAGCATAACATCCCCCTAAGTCGTGCCGCGTTCGACGCGATGACGAACACCATGATAACAAAGGAAAAATTGAGGAACCAAGAATCGTATTATACAAGTATGAAGACACGGTTCAACATAGTCACTGGTGGGCAGAAATAAAAGATTAACGATTGGAGATATCACTACTTCTTCGTACTAATCAATGAGTTCTCCATCGCCGATCAAGACATTGAGATTCAAACGAAATAGGCGGAGGTCATGGGTAGAGACACACCTGACCTGAAACGTTCGTTGGATATCTATATTTTTTTTTTTTTGTTGATCGGTTTCTTTGTTTTCGCAGGTAACAGGAACCTCCCTATTGTGGATGATCCCCTCGATATATACGAGATCTCCAAACGATTTACGGTAATCAGTGCAATTACTTGGCCAGAGATCACCGAAGAAAGAATCAAGAGAAAGAAAGGTAAGTCTCATTTGTTTTCGTCGAATCTTTTCTTCAGAGTTTGCAAGTGCTAGGTCGGTTAACATTCCTTCGATTGTTTTCAGTTGCCCTTAGACGATATTCACGCCGACTTGAAAAGATGAAATCTCGCTCGTTCAAAGATTTATCTGCCGACCTGGAATCAGCTCTCGGGTCCCCGGGTGTTAAGGAAGCCGAGAATCCCATACCGGTGGCATCATCAGACAGATGTGGATCGTCCAATGCATTGAAGGGTTGCACCGAAAGCGATTCGGCCAAGGCCAGGAAGGCGGCCGACAAGAGGGCTGAAAAGGATTTGGCCAAGGCCAAGAAGGTGACCGATAGGAAGGCTGCCAAAAAAGCAGAGAAGGCTCGGAAGAAGGCCGAGCAAGAAGAGCGCAGAGGTATGGATGAGCAGGATAAGGAGGCTGAAGAGGACGATGTTAGCGGAGGAGATGGTCCTGCCGATTTCGAACAAAAAGGCGGCCGAAGAGATGCCTGAGGGTTCACAGAGGTCAATAAGGCATCGCATTTGTGCGGGAACTCCGCCCGTTCGGGTTCTCTTACGAGTACCGCAAAGACATCCCGTTGGTGAAAGACTTAGTGTCCTGTCTTGACTTCTTCCTTCGACTTAGGGATAACCCGGCTAGTCCCTCGACAGATCCTTACAGCTTCGTCCGTAGCAACGCGATTGCTCGTTACGCGGTCGACCAGCCCAACATCGACTGTTTGTCTCCGCTTTCGTTCTTTAATATGTATGTGATTTTGAAGGTAAAACTTTGTTTATATGCAGGCTCTGAGTACAGCATTGACTGTCATGCACGATTACAATCGTGATGCAAAGAAAGGCTTGGCGGATCAGGCAGAGAGAGAGAGGCTGTCAAAGATACCTTTGAGGCCAAAAAGAGAAGGAGTGCCGAGCTGGAAGCTGAACTCCGAGAATCTGCAGAGAATCTTGCAAAGGCTCGTACTGATAACGCCGAGAAGATCAAGCTTCTCGGCCGAGCTGTGAAGCAGATCATGAAAGAGAGGGCTTCGGCTGTGAATAAACTCGAGGTCAAGCTGAATGCAGCCAAAGAGGAAGAAATGACCTGGGGAGAAGAGGTCGCCAAGCGGACAGCCGCTAAGGTCAACGACCACTATGCCGGCCTGGTGGCGAAAGTGAAGGAGTCCCTTGCTCGCAAGGAGAAAGGCAAAGAGTTGATCTCTACTGCGGCTCAATGGGTCGGAGCTCAAAGGGCCCTTACCATTATAAGGAAGCAGGGCTACGACTTTCCAGCCTTGATTGATGAGAACATGACGAAGAAGATCGCTAAGAGTAAGGCTGAGCAGGAGGCCTTTGAGGAAGTCAGTTTCTCAACCGACGAGCTCGGAGTTCCTGGGCCGGACTTCTTCTTCGAGGTCGCGAGCGAAGCCAGGCATCAAGAGGTTGAAAAATCGAAGTCTCCGGAGAGAGCCGACCAGGGGAATGGGCAAGAGGCCGAGCTGGCGACGAGACGAGAGGGCAATCAGACCAAGAGCCAGGAAGCCGATCTTGAAGAAGAAGGGGAGATCTGGGAAGACAAGAGCCAAGAGGCTGACATTGTAGGTTCTGAGGGATGAATCCCTCGCTTTTGAACTAAGTATTTTTGTATGTCGAGTTATGATGTATTTTGTTTGCCGTTATGGCATTTTATTAATGAAATGAAATATTTTCAAAATTCTAGAACATAAACTGCGATGCGATATCGGCTTTAATTTGTTTATGCGATTAACTTTCTAAGTATAAGTAGAATACACGAGTAAGATTGACCCGTATTTGATACTTAAAATTTTTCTTCAGTCGAATGCAAGGTGCGATCAGGTCAGCTTAATAGTTTTGCATAACTTGAGAAATGTAAAGCGGGTTCTGGCTTTAAAAAAGTGTGAATACGAACGTGCGAGAAGCCCAGCTTATATTGTTCGTACCACTTATCTTCTAAGTGTGAATACTTGATGTGCGATTCAGGTCAGCGTTAATTCATCGGTACCACTTCGAAGTATCTGAGTCGAATACATATGCAAAACTGACTTTGCTGATAATTACGTATGACTCGGATCGATTGAAACAGGTTAAACTGTATTTATGCAAGAAAGACTTGGCTTTTAAGTTGCCGAGCTAAAGTGGATCAGGCTTTAGCTTTAGGCGAATCGAGCATCTGGCCAGGATGCCGATGTCAAATTAATAGTAACAAAGGTAATAAATTGTGATTTTCATTAAAAAGCCGATATCGCATTTTATTAATGAAATAAAATATTTTCAAAATTCTAGAACATAAACTGCGATGCGATATCGGCTTTAATTTGTTTATGCGATTAACTTTCTAAGTATAAGTAGAATACACGAGTAAGATTGACCCGTATTTGATACTTAAAAATTTTCTTCAGTCGAATGCAAGGTGCGATCAAGTCAGCTTAATAGTTTTGCATAACTTGAGAAATGTAAAGCAGGTTCTGGCTTTAGAAAAGTGTGAATACG